AAAAATTCAAAGGCTTTCATTACCGAAATGGTCATTTTTTTCATAAACAGCTGCAAATCAGCTTTTCTCAAACCGCAGAAATCAAATAACTTATTCAGTTCAGGGGCATAATGGTCATTTATCTATAAACAACTGCAAATCAGTTGTTTCCGAAACGCACAAGTCAAACAAACAAACAACTTATCATGATCAGCTGTAGATACACAGCTTATCAGGATAAGCTGCTTATCAGCATAAGTTGGACAAGCTGGAGCTGCCCCAAACAGACCCTTAGTTGTCAAATATTATTATTTCTAAATTATTGAACTTATTTGAATTAAAAATTTTAAAAAATATTTTTGTTGCATCATCGAGAAATCTTATCAACTGACATGAATTTAGAGACAACTTTTGAATAGCAAATGTTTCCAGTTAAAATTCAATATCATTCGAGACCTTGATTTTAGCAAGTTTATTGTCAAACTGATCATCTCAACAAGACAAACCCATTGATACAAAAATTGGTTCTATCTGAGTCAAATCAAGTCCACATCAAGACCTTAAAACACATTTGGAGGATTTGGATCGTTGATTGAATTTCAGATGAACTCCATATTTGACATACTTTTAGTTAAATCAAGCATCTCGACGAAAATAATCAAACAAGCCTAAATTTTCTTAATTTTGAGGTCATTAAGACCCCCAAATTATTAAAACTCCACTTTGATCAATAGAGGTCAATGTGGGTTGTCTGATCATGTAGTTATTTGAGTTATTCATCAAATGACCAAAATGCCCTTCTCTTGAATGTTATAAATATACTACATCTCTTCACTTGGAAGGTGAGCATATTGTTCCAATTTTCTTCTATACTGAAGTCCATGTGATAACTCCTGGCCTCCGTAGCCACTGACCACCGTCGAACACTGTCTGTCGGCTGTCTTAAACCATTGACAACCCCCCTGCTCACCATCGTCAATGAACTTTGATTTTTAACAATGTATCTTGCATATGGTGTAACAAAAAATCTCAAATATAATGTGACAAAAAACATCGTATTTAAGTCTTGGTGATAACTTTTGGTTTCTGTAGCCACCGACCAAGGTCGATCACAACCAACCACCCCTACTCGCCACTGTCTGTGAACTTTGCTTGTTAACATATCCAAAATACGGTGTAATGATGTATCCTAAATATCGTGCAATGAATAATATCATATTAAAGCCTCGACGATACCATGTAACATTCATAGTCGTCCACCAGCATCGACCACCACCCAATAGCCCCTCGTAGACGTTGGCTACCTCTACTAGCTATCAACATATATCAAATATGGTATAATGATGTAATGGTATATCTCGAATATGGTGTAATAATGTATCTCAAATATGGTGTAAACGAATAACATCGTATTAAAAATCCGACAATAACTCTCGACAACAACTGCTTTCATTATCATGAAGTTTTTTATACGTTATATACCTACAAATGTTGTCTCTTATGTAAAATAGTAAATTTGATAGAAGGGTTACAACCACTAATCAGTGTAGCACCAACTATGGCTTCTTTGGCCAATTACTACTGAAGCTTCCAATTATAATGCATGTGGTCAATTGATGTTATTACAATCTCCAACTATGGTCTTTGTAGCCAACTGATAATATTACAACCTCCATTTATGGCCTTTATGACCAATTGATGCTACTGCAGTCACCAACTATGATATTTATGGCCAGCTGATAATATCACAGTCACTAACTACGATCTTTGTGGCCAACAAATGTTATTGCAATCTCCAATTACGAACTTTGTCGCCAATTAATGATATTGTAGTCACCAATTTTAGTCTACATAGCCAGGTAATGATATTGCAGTCAACAACTACTATATTTGTGGTCAATTGATGATCTGGTAGTCACCTACGACCTCTGTGGCAAATTGAAGTTATTGCAACTACCAACTACAATCTGTGATTAACTATGACCTATGTAGTTAACTGTTACTTCAGCTTCTAACTACGACATCTATGACCAACTAATGCTACTGCAACTTCCAACTACGACTATGTTTCCAACTATGACCTATATGAATAATTGTTACTGCTATTTTCAACTACAACCTTTGTGACTAAAAAATACTACTGTAACTATCAACTACGGCCTATGTGACCAACTATGACTTATATGACTAACTGGTACTACAGTTTCCAACTACAGTCTCTATGACCAACTGACAATAATACAACCATCAACTATGACTTATATGACAAACTATAACTTATTTTGTTAACTGTTACTGCAGCTTCCAATTACAGCCTCTACAACCAACTTACTACTACAACTACCAACTACGACATGTGTACTTAATTATTATTACAGTCATTGATATAGTTTTTATGGTCGAGTGACATTATTACAACTTCTAACTGCATCCTTTGTGACCAACTGATGCTATTGCAGTCACTAATTATGAAATATATGGCCGCAATATGTTATTATAGCTTTCAATACGACCTCTGTGAACAACTGACACTATTACAATCACTAGCTATGACCTACGCGACTAGTTAGTACTGCAATTTCTCATTACAGCCTCTATGTCTGACCAACGTTATTACAGTTACAACAACCTATGTGGCTAGTTATCACTGCAACTTCCCACTATGGACTTTATGGCTAATAGACACACTTGTAACTATCAACTATAGCCTAAATGGTCAATTACTACTACATTTTCTCACTACGACCTTTATAACCAAATGACGCTCTTGCAGCTACCAACTATGACCTGTGTGATCAGTTACTATTACTGTCAGTAACAACAACCTTTATGATCAACTAATGTTACACCATGCAATGATTATATTATTCAAGATATTATGAATTCAATTTTCACGCACTCTCGTTGTCCATAAAGTTTAGTGGAAGGAACCTATGATTTCTTTTATAATTTCATTTGATTTAAAATGAAATTTTCAAGTTATAGGTTCACTCAATTATTTATTTTATTCAAGAATTGCATTGCATTGAATTGTGATGAATTTAATCTACAAATTCTAAGATAGATCAAATGAGGTCTTCACCAACCCTAATTATATTCTTGAACTTCATTTTTAATAGCTTCACTAACCCAATTGACCTCAGAGCTTTGTAAAGAAAATTTAATTTTTAGGGCCACCCTCATCTAGGATCATAGAAACATTACTTATCCTTTTGGATCAAAGAAGATCAAAATCCCACTTTTGGAGTAGTTATATCAATCATATTTTCACTCATGACACTCATTTCCTTTCAGATGGAGAAGATGAAATCAACGCCATCCATCATCTGATGGAGTCAATTAGTTGAATATAATGACGTTAGGATCCAACCCTTTAATCTAAGAAATGATAGTGCACAAACACAACAATAATGATGGCTGATAGTGTTGTCAAAACAGCTTGTTGTTCGCGAACAATTTATGTTCGGCTTGTTAAATAGCTCGTGTTTGATTCGTTCGCTAACTAAACGAGTTGAACACAAATAATTTTTTTTTGTGCCCGACATATGAACGAGTCAAACACAAAAAATATTTTGTTCGTTCTTGTTCAACTCGTTTTGACTTGAATAATATATTCACACACACACACACACACACACACACACACACACATATATATATACATATATATGTATAGACACACACACACACACACACACACACACACACATACATACAAAGCATATGTGGCACTAAATCAGGAAGTTGGGACTATTACCTTTAACAGAAACGAGGAGACGCTTATGTAGACTGCAAGCAAAGGTAAAGTCAACTGGACATCATTGAGACAACTGAATCAGTATGTGCCGACCGTCAAGTAAACCAATATTCCAACTGCCCAATAGTTTCATATCCTCAAAATCTTTCCGAATGATCTCTAGTTTTGGGTGACCATACAAAAATTTCCCCACTATAGCAAAGCGCCAGGAGGGCGCGAGAGTACTGGTGTGAGAATAAGAGCAGACTTCCCATTTTTTTCCTAATTTTTTTTATGAAGGTGTGATCGCCACCACTTTTAAGAGTGCCGTGAAAAGATTGATGAACATTGCAGGAATTGCCAATATGAAAACCAAACTCTGAACCTGAAAGAAAAGCACGACTAGGAATATGAATGTCGCCGGCAAGTGTTGTGACATAGGAGCGGATTGTGGATGCCATCTCCAAAGCAGCCAGGGAGCCGCTGGACGCTAGAAATAGGCGAACAAAACTGCCGCCTACGAACGAAGCGAGCAATCGAGCATGTTGATGCAGCGTATTGACCTTGACGAAGAAGAGCCGCAGACGACGAAGGCTGCGATTTCATCAAGGCACGACGAAGGACGCAGAAACGACACAACAGACGGAGTCGCGAAGCCGAGGGAGACGAAGTCGAAGAAGACAAAGTCGTGCAGACGAATTCGACGCAGACGAATTTGAGGCAGACGAAGCGTGACGAAGGAAACAACGAAGTATGACGAAGGAGCAGGTTGTGATTTCGATCCGACGAAGAGATAACGAGGGCTACTCAGGTCGCCATGAAGACACGACGGGAGTAAACCCTAGCAGAGACATCGCGTTATATATATATGTTTGTATGTATGTATGAACACTACCTAAGCCCATGCGGACCTTTGTGAATTTTCTTACCTTTTTTTCTGAAATTAATAAATCTGGGCTCTTCCCCAGTTCACTCTAAATAGTTGAACCAACTTAATCAATTAAATTAATAACAGTGAATTTTTTATGAATTAATTAAACTTAATTAAATCTACATAAACTCGTTCGTATTTGTCCATTTAATTATAAAATAATTATAAATATGCCCAAATTTGTTGAATTAGATAAACAAGTGAACACAAAAGAACTAGTTGTCGATTCTAGTAACGACTAGTTTGTTGAACGTTTGATTTGATTGCAGCCCTACGATTGTAATTACTTTTTACTTTTTACTTTTTAGGGTATATAATTTTCACTTAAAATTAACAAACAAAAATTATATTAAATTCCCTTTTGCATTCTCCTTCCATCTCTTCCTCTCCTTACCGAAACCCTCGCCGACCATTCCCCTCCCCCACCTTCTGCTCGAATCCGGCGCGATACAGTCGCGACTGGAGGTAGCTGGAAAGTGGCAAGGCAGCAGGGGTCGTGGTGTACGAAGACTTCAAAACTTACATCTTTCTTCCCCTTTCACGCGGCAATGTCCTGAAATCAGGTAACTCTCATCTCCCACCAACAGGATCTACTAAATCTAGGATTCAAGGAAAGACGGAGGAGAAAAGTGATTTCAAATTCTGTTGGATTTAAGTTGTCATTTTTACTCTTTGTTAGGATTTGGATTAAATCCTGCTTTCAAACAGTTCCTTAGGTTTTTTTCTTGATTCCATTTGCAGTTGCAGACTTGAGACGGGTCTGCGGTACTCCTCTTCATCTTGTTAATCCAGGCTCCAGTTGTCATTGAACTGTCTTGCTCGCCAGATTGGCCACATCCCGACGTTGAATCAGTTAACCTTCTTCCATTTCTTCGCTCTCCATTTTTTGGTGGTTGGTAAGCTCTCTGATTCTCACCTTCTCTCACCTTTCTTTAAACTTTATTAGCTTTTCTTGTTACTTTGTTCTTCGGTGACTTTGGGTGATTTATTTTAATTTCACATGCTCAGATTTATTTTTTTGTTGATCTATTCGTCGCTTAAGGAATTACTATGTTAGAGTAATTGTTTGAGTGATATCTATTCAATATAAGATGGTTGAATGTAGATCTCAGTGATTGGGAATGCACAACGCAGGATAAGAAAATGTTCCCAGTAGCTTAAAATAGTTTTGGAGGATTAAAAATGTAAAGTGAGTGGTCCTAAGATAACATTGACAGAAGTTGTTTAAAATGATTTGCGGATTATAGGTTTTATACCTTTGGCAACACTCAACAACAATAACAACAACTGGAAAACGATTATTCATAAAGCTAACCACAAATAGATTGGATAAGGTAATGATGATGTTTTGAGCTCGTGACACTTTTTTTAAAATTGTTCTTAAGAAAAACATCACAATGGTTTTATGAAATTTTGTTTGGTTTCTCCTTTATTTTTAGCTTTCAGTGATGTATTTAAATGTTTTGTATGTATGAATGATGTGAACTTTTCTTGTGTCAGTTTGTGTGGAAGTTATGAAGCTCCAAACTTATGCGGCATTTAGTTTCTTGGCAACAGTAGCTGCTGTTTACCATGCATTCAGCAGTAGAGGCCAGTTTTACCCTGCGATGGTTCACTTATCTACATCCAAGATATGTTTTGTTCTTCTTTTAAACATGGGTCTGGTCATGATGTGCATAACATGGCAATTAGTCAAGTCTTTATTTCTCGGTTCTCTTAGAGAGGCAGAAGTCGAAAGATTGAATGAGCAATCTTGGAGGGAGGTCATGGAAATTCTTTTTGCTATTACAATATTTAGACAAGATTTTTCAGTCATGTTTCTTGCTATGGTTACTGCTCTTCTGTTGATCAAAGCATTGCATTGGTTGGCTCAAAAGAGGGTTGAGTACATTGAGACAACTCCGGCTGTACCTAAATTGTCTCACATTCGGATTGTTGCTTTCATGGGATTTCTCCTTCTTGTTGATTGTCTCTTCTTGTACAGTTCTATAAAGTCATTGATACAGACCTGGGAAGCATCAGTTTTCCTCTTCTTTGCTTTTGAGTAAGTCAATAATGCACCTTTTATTTAGCAATAGAAGGGAACAATCGTTCTTTTAACTAATTTTCATTTTTTTTTAAGTTAAGAGCAATGTTGCAATTCCCTTTAAAAGAAACTTTCAAGGCTTACTTGCAAATTCGAAAGCCAAATAGTGCTTGATTTTTGGTCTACTATTGATTTCCTTTATTCAAGAGCAATTTTTGAATGGTTATTACATATATCTCTTAGATTTTAAATTCCTTTTTAATTCATATTTAGTTCCATAATTTCATAATCTTGATAACTAACTACAATTTGCTCATCTTTATAGTTGATTTGGGGTAAAAAAGTGCGTGTTGAAGTTCTATAATTGTTGATGTTCTGCTTTCCAGAAAAGGTCCAAAAGAGTTCATTAACCTGAGGAAGAAGCTGAATCAATTTATGAGACTAATTGCCTTATGTAGATATTTATGTGTGATGCTATGACATTGGCACACAGTTTGAGTTATTTAGAAAGTTTCATGGGATGTAACACAGTTTAAGAAGAAATATTGGGCTATTTATTTGGCATAAAAGTTGAGTATGTTTCTACTTTAAAATGGTAGCCTAATGTACTTTTGCTATTTCTTTAGGAAACATTTTCAGTTCGATTGTTGTCAGAAAATAAAGATGCAAAGATTAGAGGTAAAAGGATGGAACTGAAGTAACATGGTTAGACATTGCACAGAAGCATTTGTGTAAAATAGAATTAACACCTCATGAAGCACTTATGCTGGAATTAGAAGCGGATGATTTGTAAGGCCGACTTTGAATATTAGGGATGAGGTTGGAGAAGATGATGATGGTTGTAGAGGTGGTGATTATTGCTGTTTGAAAATATTTTAAAATTATATGAGAGAGCGATGTGCAATTTTATATGGTTGTTATGGATATTGAATTTTCTGGCTTGACTTTTATGATTGTTGGCAGTTGAGAAATGAAAAATATAAATGTTTGTGCTTTTCTGTGTTGTTTTACTTTTAAGAGATAAAAGAAAGGAAACCTTGGTTATCACATTTTATGATAGATAAATTATTTGCATGCTTCCAGGGATAGACACTTAATTAAATGGTATCATGTTTTTTATTTGAATTAAATATTGTGTGTGGTTGGGTTCTATAAGAATGAAATTCTTGAGTTCCACATGATAAATATGCTATTTTATTGCTTTTGAAGGCCTTCTGAACTTAGCATGCCACAAAACAGCAGTGCACAAATGATGGTGTTCTTAGTAGCCCGATTCATTATCTTTTAATCTGTGGCATTCATTGAGTTTCTTTTTGTTTGTGGTGGCGGCATTGAGTGTGCACATAAGTTGAGACATATTAGAAGATTAGGAAGGGGCAAACCTTTTTGTTAGAGCCAAGTCCTGGATTTATAACATCTCTCTACTCTATTTTTTGCTATCTTTTGTTATGTAAAAGTGCAACTAGCTGTTACACTGGCATTGCCATGCATGATAGTTAATTGTTTCTTAACATATTGAATTACAGGATGTTCCACGTAATCCTATCCCTTATGCTTGAAATACGCTTAACCCATTTTCTTGTAGATTTTTGAAATAACTTCAAAGTATGTAGATTTTGTTTGGGTTATCTGTTACAGATTGCTTCATTTCTTAGAGTGAATGAGTGCTTCAGCAATGTTGATCTAATGCTCTGAGCAGTGAATTACTTGTCTCGTCTTGATCATTTATTTCTCTCCATCAGTTACTTTTGATGCTTTTACCATTACTTGGTTCTATTATCTTAGTTTGATTTGTGTTTCTTTTGTTTTCTAGATACACTATACTAGCTACTACAACAGTTTCAACTTTTGTAAAGTACGTTTTCTATGTTAGCGACATGCTTATGGAAGGACAGTGGGAAAGGAAGGCAGTCTATACATTTTACTTGGAGCTTGTTCGTGATCTTCTTCACTTGTCAATCTATATTGTATTCTTTCTTGTGATCTTTGCGTAAGTACTTCGTAACATGATGTGATGACAATTAAACAAAGTTTAAAATTAAATTTACTGCTTGTGGTTGCTGAGGTGTAGTATGATGCATTTGTTCTAAAAATGAGTATTGTTTGAATCTCTAGCATTATGTACATAAAATTTTTGTTGTAGGTTACCTATATTTTGGTCCTAATGGTCAAACTAAAAAAGTTGCCTTCAACTTTGTGGTAGGTTTGTCTTTTGCATTTCTTCCATATATGGAATTCTGTCTCATTGGGTTTATATGTTCATGGTGACTTCCTTTTTTCTTTGCTGTTGCCATATATTTTTTTTTTTTCAAATTTTTACTCTTCATTCTGGTCCCTTTGTATGGAGAACAGGATGTATAATGCTTTAATTTTTAGATTTTTTTTTTTTTGGAATTTAAAGGTTATTAAATGGTTTGAGGGATTTTTAGCACAAATGGTTAGATTTATTTGAGTTTGTAAGTTTTGGATGTCATTGCATTTTATTTCTTCTTGCATTATATGATCATTAGTTTATTTCGTTGACACTGTAGATTTTTAGGGTTAATTGTGTTTACATAAATATTTTGATTGGTTTTTATTTGCGTTAGATTGGAATGAATAGAAAATGAATCAAACAATAAATGAGTAGTCCTGAGTTGCAGACTTATTGAAACCCTAGGAAGTTGTATCCTAGGTCTTTCTCCCTAGGAGAAATTCTATGAGGAAAGGCTATACATATAATCTTCCTCTTTTTTTAGCCGTTATGTGTCAAAGTGCCACCATATGATGGAAATCTCAGTAGCATTCTTGATTATTGTAATATTTTGCTTGTATTGCTTGTTGCTGTGTCAGGCTAGATTTGAAGTTTAAGTGTTGCCTTTGTCATATGTTTTCCTATATCAGGAGCTATGGTGTGCCTTTGCACCTGATCCGTGAGCTTTACGAGACATTTCGAAGCTTCAGAATGCGTGTTGCAGATTATATTCGATATCGCAAAATCACTTCAAATATGAATGAACGATTTCCTGATGCATCGCCCGAGGAACTTAATGCGTAAGTTTGGTGTCAATTTGATTGCTTTCGGTCTTTAGTTTTTCTTTGATTGGAATGATAATTTGTTCCACTATACCGCAAATATAGAAGTGACGCAACATGTATCATATGCCGTGAAGAGATGATTACGGCCAAAAAGTTGCGCTGCGGGCATCTTTTTCATGTGCATTGTCTTAGATCTTGGTTAGAGAGACAGCATACTTGCCCCACCTGTAGATCTTTAGTTGCGCCTCCTGAAAGTGGTTCCACAGCTATTGGGCAACAACAGGCAGTGCCTTCTGATAATCAGCCTGGTATATTTACTGTACTTTTGCCGTTTGTTATGCACCTGCTGTTTCAAATGACTTTTCAGCATCTCTATGTTCATTTTCTACCATGATCTTCAACACCTTGGAATTTTAAACCACTGTTTTTTTACTTTTTTATTTTGCTACAGTGGTAATATTGTAATCTGAAAGTTTCTTCCACTCTTTCACTATGGAAATTTTTTCATGGAGCTTCTTTTGGCTGACACATGGATTAGGCATTGCCTCAATTGTGTTGCCATTTTATCATGATAGTTTTAATTTTTAATGTACCTTGGTGTATGCTTTTCACTGATGATTCCTTCTTGTGGATAAGATTAGAGAAAGAGCTCACGAAAAACTTTAATTATGGAGGTCTACATTGGAGTCTAGAGGCCTTCATTTGAGCAGAACTAAAACTGAATACATGAAATGTAATTTTAGTGGTAGTAGCTCTAGTGGCAGAGTTGTAATTATGGGTGATCAAATCCTTAAAAGGTGTGAACATTTTAGATATCTCGGGTCTATTCTTCAAAGTGATGATAATATTGATAGGGATGTTATTAGTAGAATTCAAGTTGGTTGGTTGAAGTGGAGGAATGCATCGGGCTTATTGTGTGATAGAAAAGTACAGCTTAGACTGAAAGGAAAACTGAAACTTAGACTGAAAGGAAAATTTTATAAGATGGTGGTGAAACCTGTATTACTCTATGACACAAAATGTTGGTCTTTCAAAGAGAAGCATAAAATAAAGTTAAGTGTTGTCGAGATGAGAATGCTTAAGTGGACGAGTGACTTGACACTTGAGAAAGAATTCGAAATGAATATATCCATGATAGGGATAAGATTAGAGAGACTCGTCTTAGATGGTTTGGTTACATTAAACGCCGACCATCTGATGATCCAGTTAGGACAGTAGATGTTTTAGATTCGACTTATGTTTAAAAAGTCAGAGGTTGACTTTAAAAGATTTGGGCATATTCTTAAAAAAAATGATCTTAATTTATTAGAATTAAATGAAAATATGACGCTCAATATGACGCAATGGAGAAAAAGGATTCATGTAGCCAACCCCACTTAGTGGGATAAAGGCTTTTTGTTGTTGTTATAGTTTTAACTTTTAATGTATTATTTTAATAAGCAATTGATTTGCTCAACTTATATTCAGTTTCTTAAGCAGTCATAGCTGTTGGCTGTTTTTGGAATCAAAGAAAAATGTCTTAATAGGTTAAATGGAGAAAGGGGCACTCTGGTTTCATGAATAATACTATATAACCATGTTTGGGATGCTATTGATTTGTATTGGGTAACAATAGGATCTCACTGTGTTGAGAAGTAAGTTGATTTATGCACAGTTGTATATGTAGATTTTTTATTTTGAATTCAAATACTTGTAGAGCTCTTACTTATTTGTATAGGATAGGCGGCTACATTTTGAAGTACTGCTATCGTTTATCTTTATTATATAGAAAGAGATGGATGTGTAGTCATGCATCTTAATAGAATGATTTGATATTTGGACTATGCTTTATTGATAGCAACGAAGGTGCTTAAATTTTCCCATAATTTGTCGATTCAAATATCTGTGAATCATGAATGTAAAAAATTTTCATGACGCCTCATATTTTTTGAATTAATTGATTAATGGACATGCTATTTTTATTCATTTTTTGGCTGGCATGAATCATTAGATTGTTCCGAACACTTTCTTAATTGAAGCAGAGAATCAAACTAATTGAACTGATGTTCAACATGCTCTTTGTCGTCATGATTTATTATTGTTTTGTTTAAAAACCTCTAAATCGTGAATGTAAAAGATCTTCATGATGCCTCATATTCTTTTAAAAGTAATTGACTATTGATAAGGACAACAACAACAACAACAAAGCCTTAATCCTACTACGTGGGGTCGGCTACATGAATCCTTTTTCTCCATTGCGTCATATTTAGTGTCATATTTTCATTTAGTTCTAGTAAATTAAGATCATTTTTAATACAATAAGCCCAAGTCTTCCTAGGTCTACCTCTACCTTTATTAACACAAGTCGAATCTAAAACATCTACTCTCCTAATCGGATCATCAGATGGTCGACGTTTAATGTGACCAAACCATATAAGACGACTCTCTCTAATTTGTCCATCACTGGAGCTACACCCACCCTATCATGGATATAATCATTTCTCATTTTGTCTCATAAGTGTAAAGCCACTCAACCACCTAATCATTCTCATCTCAACAACGCTTAACTCAGCATTATGCTTCTCTTTTAAAGGCCAACACTCAATGCCATAAAGCATTGCAAGTCTCACCACCATCTTATAAAATTTTCCTTTCAGTCTAAGAGGAACTTCTCTATCACACAAAAGGCCCGAAGCATTCCTCCACATCAACCAACCAACTTGAATCTTACTATTAACATCCCCATCTATATCACCATCGCTTTGAACAACAAACCCAAGATATCTAAATCGTTCGCACCTTTTAATAATTTGATCACACAAAGTCCACTTTCTGGCACTAGAGCTATTGCTACTAAAATTATATTCCATGTATTCAATTTTAGTTCTACTTGAATGAAGGCCTTTAGACTCCAATGTAGACCTCCATAATTCAAGTTTTTCTTGGGCTTTTTCTCTCATTTTATGTACGAGAAGGATATCATCAGCAAAAAGCATACATCAAGGTACATCCTCCTATAGATGTCCAGTAAGACCATCCATAACTAAAGCAAAAAGATATGGGCTTAAAGCCGATCCCTGATGTAATCCAACAGAAATAGGAAAATATTTGGTCAATCCTCCTTCAATTTAAACACAAGTAACAACTCTAGCATACATATCTTTAATAACTTGAATATAAGTCATATCAACACCTTTCTTCCCAAGAACTTGCCAAAGGATATCTCTTGGAACCTTATCGTAAGTTTTTTCTAAATCAATAAAAATCAAATGTAGATTCTCCTTAATATCTCTGAACTTCTCCATCAAACCTCTCAATAAATGTATAGCTTCCATAGTAGACTTGCCTGACATAAATCATAAATTGATTATGAGAAATCTTTGTGATGCGTCTTAACCTATGTTCAATTACTCTCTCCCATAACTTTAAAGTATGACACATCAACTTAATTACTCTATAATTTGCACACTCTTGTGCATCCCCTTTATTCTTAAAAATGGGGACTAAAATACTCTTCCTCCAATCCTCAGACATCTTTTTAGTTTTTAAAATAATATTAAAGAGTTTAGTAAGCCAAGGCACTCCCAAATTTTTCCACACGTTCAATTAGGATATCATCAGGTCCTACAGACTTTCCATCCTTTGTTTTCTTTAAAGCCTCGTCAACTTCTTTTTTACTAATGCGATAGTAAAAATGAAACGTTTTATTATTATATATGATATTAAAATCACTAAGGTCGATCGTATTTTCAGAAACTTCATTAAAAAGTTTATCAAAGTAACTCACCCACCTATGTTGAATATCTTTTTCTAAGAAATGTACTTTTTTATTTTCATCTTTAATACACTTTACTTGAGTTAAATCTTTACTTTTCGTTTCTCTTTGTATGGCTAGTTTATACATATATTTTTCACTCTCCTTAGTATCTAATCTATTATAAATATCATTAAAAACAAAATTTTTAGCGTCACAAATTGTTCTTTTAGACTCTTTGCGGGCCGTTTGATATTTTTCACAGTTATCAAAACTTTTACATTTAAACCAATTTTTATAACATAACTTCTTGTATTTTATTTTTTCTTGCATATTATTATTCCACCACAAACTATTTTTATTTATAAAAACTTTTTCTTTTGATTCTCCAAGCAAATTTTTTGCTACTTGTTTAATAACGTTTGTTACTTTATCCCACATAACATTTGCTTCTTCATGAATATCCCAAATTTTGAAATCTTGAATTTTATTCATAAAAATAATTTTATTTGTTTTTTAAGTTTCTCCATCTAATTCTACGATGATGAGTCCTAGTATTCTTTATTTTGCAACTCTTAATCTTAAAATCTAGAACTAATAAACGATATTAAGTACTTAAATTCTCACTTGGAATGACCTTACAATCTTTACAATCGCGACGATCTCTTCTTCTCATAAGAAAATAATCAATTTGTGTTTTATTAGATCCACTCTTATAAGTAATAAGATGCTCATCTCTTTTCTTGAATAAAATATTAGTAATAACAAAATAATACGCTAAAGCAAAATTTAAAATAGTTATACCTTCTTCATTAGTCACTCCAAAACCGTAGCCACCATGAGTATTTCTGAAGTCATCTATCACTCTACCGACATGTCCATTTAAATCTCCTTTAATAAAATTCTTTCTTTAAGATGTATCATCTGTATTAAGTCTTCTAAGTCATTCCAAAATTTATTTTAGACTTTATATCTAAACTTACTTGTGGAGCATAAACACTTATAAAAATAAAAATCTTAGTATCAATGATAATCTTAAGGGCTATAATTCTATCTCCAACTCTGATAATTTTTACAACATTATCTTTCAAACTCTTGTCCATAATTACACCTACACCATTTCTAGTGCGACTTTTACCAGGATACCAAAGTTTAAAACCTAAATTATCAATCTCCTTGGTCTTTTCTCCAACCCACTTAGTTTCCTGAATACATGAGATATTAATTTTCCTATGAATCATAATATCAACTAATTCCATTAATTTACCATTGAGAGTACCTATATTCCAAGATTTTATCCTAATATTAGTTTCATTAGTTTTATGGACTAACTTCTTTACCCGCATTCACCCATAATGTGGAAACCCTTATTTAACACTACACCCGGGCGCCGGTGCAGCGGCCCTTTCACACTTTTCCTTTTATTAAGGTTATACGCTTCCAGGGGACGCCTTAACACTTATTCAATGATTAAAAGGATTCATGTCATGATTTTTTTTTCCGATAAGTTTTATGCTGGCTGTCTACTACCTAACGCAACCTTCCACTTTTCACATCCGAGCTTGGGACCGGCAATAGCAAAATAATTGACTATTGATGATATGCTATTTTTATTTTTTATTTTTTGGGATACGTTGACTCATTAGCTTGCTTCAAGCACTTCTTTAATTGAAGTGGAATATCAAATCAATTGAACTAATGCCCAACATGCTTTTTGTGTTTATCAATTTAGATATCTTTGTATTGTGAATGTAAAAAATTATCACGACGCTTCATTTTTTGTTTGAAGTAATTGACTATTGTTGATTATTTTTTATTTTTGGATGACATGAATCATTAGATTGATTAAAAATGGATTATGTTAAGAAACTTTATCAAAAGGTTTATTGTAAAATTCACTTGTTCTCCATTCAATAAATGGTGTGCCCTAAGCTTTGTTTATCGGTATGTGTAAATGAAGATCTTTACTTGCCTAAGGCTCTTCATTAAAATGCAATTAAGTATTTTGTATGTGTTGTGATTTGTGCTTGTCCCAACAATGTTTTTATTGTTTTGGTGATTAGCCACATTAAATATAAATCAACAACAATGCTGAAAATTGTGCAATTGGGTATTGAGGCATTTTCCATTTGTGAAGTAAGGCATAAGCGTTGGAGCGGTTTGAGAGTCTCACAATTTGAAAATTGTATATTCAAATAAAAGGGGTATATATATATTTATATATTTATATAGCATCATAATTTATAAATATATGAAATTAAAATATATTAATCATAACATGATAAAAAATGATAAATTGCACAAAATATGTAAGTAAAACATAAGATAAGTTTATTATAAAAGATTTTTCTCTCCTATTGTTCAACATAGTAGTATCTATAGTTTTAAATAAGTAAAATATAATCAAAAGTCCTCAACACTCTCATCACTTAAGGGGGTTTTATTGGAATCCTCAGCATAACGTTTAGTTTTCTCCCATATTTCTTCGTCAATTGAGCCTAAGTTCTCCCATTCTTTTTCTTCTTCAACCTCGGTCATCTTTTTCTTATATATTCCATTATAAATAATAAAAAAGCTGAAAATTAACATTGAAGAAAATATCAGATATTTGAATTTTTAAAAATATTTGTTTTCTCTGACTGCTTTGTGTTGGATTCTCTACCTTTGTTCCTGTCACCATCAAAGAAATCAACATGTAGATCTTCTTGCTATAACTCAACTGGTATGACCACATTATCCTTATTCACAAACTACCCATCATCGTGATGACATAGCTTCATATAAAGAGGATCTTCGTCACCTTTTAAACTTTTTTTTTTTTGTTAACTTGTATCTTTCAATTTCTTGTTGTACATGATGTAAATTAAAGAATTCATCCTTAAGGTTGCTAGATGGTTTATCCTTTTTGTATGAACTTGATTATATGTAGTCTAATTACGATCATATCCAGATGATGAACATGTAAGTCTTAATATTTTAATAGCAAAACGTTGGAGTTCTAGAGTACCATCACCAAATTGAATCCACCATTCATCTATATTTGAAAGAAATACTTTAATTAAAAAATAAAAGAATAGTGCTTAGAGACTCAATACTTGTTGCAATGAACATATTAAATATTAGAAATTTTACGTGGAGATCGATTTGTAATAGTATCTTTAGCTTAATGTAGCCAAAAGAAATCTTTCTTAAATGGAACAAGCTACATAGAGCAATTGTTCTCTCATTTGGGTCATCAATGAATCTATTCTTACAATGATAGCCCTAACTTGATCTCAGGTTTTGTGGATTCTTTTTCATCATATTGAAATTGTGTGTTGAGGAAGTATCCATGATGGTTGAGGAAATATCTATCTGCATGAAAATGTCAAGTTGAAACTCCCATTTTTCATCAATTATCTCTCAAATCTCTATATAAGTCTCCTCTTCTACTCCTAGGTTATGTGATATTAACTACTTGGCCCCATTCATCGCGTTGTAAATAAAACTCATAACTGGCTTCTTCTCTACATTCACTATCCTCAAAACTTATTCTAATGGCCTCGTGGTCGTTAATGCATATGTGATACTAGACGGAAACTTTTTTGGAGGTTATACAAGTTTTATCAAACAAAAAGTCTCATATATATAACTAATTCCTTATATGAAGATTTATACACAATCATACACACCACTCAATAGTCAATTCCAATGTATTTGCATATCTAAGACCAAAATTTTGATCAAAACATTATAGATAAGGGGCATTTACATACTTCATACCACAATACATCTCACACATAAATTTGTTTTTTTACATTTATACCACCTAAATCCTTCATATCACATCAAAATTATTAAAATTTTAGCTTTTAAAAAGTAAATTACTTCTTTTAATGCATTGGTGATGTGGTATGTCTGAAATAAGTTGAAATAATTAATCATTAATGGAATATTATTATATGGGAACATTGGAATTGACTATTGGAATTGGCATCTTTCTACTTGTACACTGTCATAATTCCATTTACTTTATTTGCTGTACGAGTAGAAAGCATGCCATCTTTCATTTTTTTCAAACTTGAAACTTATTCCTAGCATTTTTTTTTTTCATTAAGGTTATTTTTATTTTATGTAGTATAACCACCATCTGACATTCAGTTAATCTTTTTGAAACATTTTAAATTAAATATGCAACTTGGAATATCCAACTCGATTTTATTTTCATGGAGTATTCAGTTTTTATTGGCCTCTAAAAAATGTTACATTGGCCATTCAATTCCCTTGAACTGTTTCATGGCTGTGATATTTAATTCTGCTGTGATTGGAAGCAAAATATTGCAGATGCAAACAGGATGCAGAACCTCCTGATAAATTAGTTTTAGAAGTACAGCGAATTTGCTTGGTTATTTTTGTAGGATGTCCACCTGTATGACTTTACCTCTAATACAAAAGGTTCATATTATCCTACTGCCAATCACCAAGTTTTTGATGACTAGCAACTCATCATTTTGCCTTTGTTCGAGAAACTTCTAGACACATTTATAATCTACAACTTTTTTAGCATAAAAGGAAAATGTTATTGATGCTCTTTTTAATTCAGAATTTCATTTCTGGTCATTAACCGTGTGATCAAATAGGCTTGATATTATTGTTGATTGAATCCATCTGAACCTATTCTATGCATAATGTAGCATGGGTGATTTCTGACTATAGCGGTAAGTTTATATTCTACATCAGATATTGATGGACTTGTTCTTCTTTATGATCTAAGGATAGAAGTTAGTTTGCTAATATAGATTAATGTTTGCTTTAATTATATTGTTCTTTTTTGCTTCCTGGTTGAACGGTTGCTGCACTGAAACTGAGTTTTGACTTTTATGTTAGTAGGGCCAGCAGCGGCAGGAACCACACAGGCTTCTGATGCTGGTGCAGTAAACCAAAATCAGTCTCTACTTCAAGCTGCGGCCATGGCTGCTAAAGCATATGAGAAATCTTTTGTCCATTTTCCAACAAACCATTACACTTGGTTAGTTAAATTATTGTTCATTGCATTCTATTTTATATTAAGCTGGTTAAATGGTTCTTGAAGGATCTCTATTAGTTTCTCCTGTTATTAGACTGGCATTCAGCAATATTTTTTTGTGCATTTCATGCTTTCATTATTTGCACATTATGTTAGTAATTATTTGTAATTTTTTTTAAAATTATACTGAGTATATGTTTATGTATGTATTGTATGTATGTATATATTTATTGTATTGTATGTATATGTATTTATATATACAATACATACATACACACAGTATATATTTATTGTATTGTAGTATGTATATATTTATTGTATTGTATGTATATGTATTTATATATACAATACATACATACACACATATACAACATACATACATACATAGTTTTAGGGTTTAGGTTTATGAATGCCTTTTTTGCATTACTATCCTTGTTTTCTGATATTGATTTTCTAGTGTTCTAAGAATATTTGACTTAATGCAAATTCTTTCTAGTCTTTTTTTTTTACCTTATTGACTTCTGTTTTTTTGGACGCGGCAGGCTTGGTTTGGTATTACTTTTTCTAAAACTGGCATCTAAGTTTATTATTATTATTATTATTATTTTATTTTTGTGCTAGAAACTTGCCACAAAAAAAAAAGAAAACTTTTCTACACATCCACCGCTTCCATGGCTTCAAAAACATAGGCAACACACTAATGCAAGAGAAACTCTGCATTTGAGTTTAGTATGTATTTATATTTTATTTGTGCTACTTATCATTTTTCATGGCATTGTCCTTTATTTGTGACTTAATTATTAGTAGATATTATGTCAGTATTTGTTAGATTAGGTTGAATTTTTCTTCTTTGTTGAAGGTAATTTATTATTATTTTTGAATGAGGTATAATTATTACTATTAAGGTCATGTAATTTAGATGTTGATTAATGAAGTATCCTGATTTCGTCTGTAAGAAACATTTAACATTTTGATGAATATTGCATGATTCACTTTACTTTGTGCTTTATACTTTTTTGGATTATGTGGCTTGCTTGAGGATTCAGTGCATCACTTGGTCTCCTTTTCTCGTCTAGTTCTTTTAGTTCACCATTACACTTCATGTTCCTGATCAGTTTGCAATGCAGCTTGTTCAAAGGAAATCTTTTCTGCTTCAAAACAGAAGCGGGGTGCCGATTAAGTTTTTAATGATATGTTCTATGGCTTTTCCATTCAAAATCCCCATCACTATCCCACCAACGTCATTATCCCCTAAATCCATTACTATTTAGCTCTACTTCCCTTTCCTCGTTTTTTTTTTAATCTTTGTTCAACTATTTCTGTATTTGTCTCTACATTCAATCTTTTCACATTCAAAGCCTTCCCCTTTCTAAATCATTTTCTGCATCCCTTCACCTTCCAAAATTTTAAATCTAATTTTCTGCCTAATCTTCTCAAAAAAAAAAAAAAAGAAGCAACTTTCACCTTCAAAGTTGAATACTATACGAAACAAAAATCAAATCCTTTCTAACTTTTAACAGCCCACCCTAATTTAAATTATATACCGGAACCAACTTTTTTACTTGTCATAACTTACCAACTTGATTTTATTTCCCTTAAATGGTTGCGGGTGACGTCAACAGTATTCCCATTCCCTAAATTCTTCTTCGTATTAACAACCAAGACCTTTTAAGTAAAATAATTTAATTATCCATGCACCAGTTATAGCTAACAGAATCTACTCATTTTCCTACAAACTAAGTTGATACAATAAATCTTTCTCAAACCTAATTGATCAAACTTAATCTGAACACCATGACCCAACCTAACCAGACCAATCTAATTGACAATACTCAACTAGACCAACATATGTAATTCAACTTATTTAACCCAACTATAAAGCCTAGTGAAGAGGAAGAAAATCAGCTTTTTTGTCACTTCAGTTTAATTCAACTTATTTAACCCAACTATAAAGCCTAGTGAAGAGGAAGAAAATCAGCTTTTTTGTCACTTCAGTTGATTATACTAGTGTTCATCAAAACACCCAGGTTTTGTGAGAAATTCTTCTATTAATGATTGATAGTGTTCATGTGGATCTATGTCGAGAATATGATATTGATATTGCTACATTCGTTGTCCTCCTTTGTCTCTCACCTTGGGATGATGTTTCATTCCCATTGCTCTTAAATTCATTAGGAGAGATCTTCTACAATCTCTTCTTTTACGTGGTGGATTTTCCCTGGGATAGATTTCACTTGTTCTATAACAAATAGAGGACTTATAGTTTTTCCTCTAGCTGTTCGCTGTAGTTCTTGCAACCTATGGGAGTTGATGGTGGTCAGACAACTGATATATGATTGTTGTGCTGATTTTTTTCTTGGAAAATTTACACATATATCACTCAATTCCTATGTATTTACACATCTAACACCTAAACTTCAATTTTTGCATACATGTTGCCTTAATAAGAGAAAGAGTTCAGAAAAAAATTGAATTACAGAGGTCTGCATTAGAGTCTAAAGGCCGTCTTTTAACTAGAACTAAAACCGAATTCTTAGAATTTTAGTAGTGGTAGCTTTAGTGGCAGAGTTATAACTATGGGTGATCAAATCATTAAAAGTGTGAACTTTTTAGATTTTTTGGGTCTATTATTCTGATTGATGGTGATATAGATGGGGGTGTTATTAGTAGAATTCAAGTTGGTTGGTTGAAGTGGAGGAATGCTTCAAGTCTATTGTGTGATAGAAAACTACCGCTTAAACTGAAGGAAAAATTTTATAAGTTGGTGGTGAGACATCCAACGCTCTATGGCGCAAAATGTTGGCCTTTAAAAGAGAAGCATAAAACAAAGTTAAGTGTTGCTGAGATCAGAATGCTTAAGTGGATGAGTGGCTTGACACTTAGAAACAAAATGCGAAATGAATATATCTTTGATGGTTTGGTCATATTAAACGTCGACCATGTGATGATCTGGTTAGGAGAACATATGTTTTAGCTTCGACAAATGTTAAAAATGACAGAGGTAGATCTAAAAAAACTTGGGCATGTTGTATAAGACATGATCTTAATCTTTTAGAATTAAATGAAAATATGACACTCAGTAGGACACAATGGTGAAAAAAATTTCTTATAGCTGACCCCACTTAGTAGATGAAGGCTTGTTGCTGTCTTAACTATGTATAAAATGTGTATTTTACTTTATCAGTATATTTGATGTGATACGACAAATTTGGGCGGTATAAATGTAAAGTGTAAAGTTTAAGTGTTAGATATGTAAATACATAGGAATTTGGTGGTATGTATGTAAATGTCCCTTATTTGCTTTATGAATACCGTTTTTATTGTTCATGCCATTTGCCCTTATTTATCTTTATGTTAATTGTTGGGGGTTATTGTATCATTTGTCCTTTAGGATTTGTACATAATTTTCTGATTGAGGCTTATTATTTTAAACAAGTGTGTCTGGGTCATGTAATTCAAATGGAGATTATAGAAGTATCTTGATTCCTGATTATATGGTTTATTCTCGTTATTGAATAATTTAATTTTTATTTGTTGTGTAGTTATTAAAATTTGATTTTTATTGATTGTGTGCTTGTAATAATTTTTAATTTAAGCTATCAACCTGGCCTTTCTAATTAGGCTTGTACTCTATGGCATATTTGTTTTTAGATTTACTTGCATTCCCTAAATACTTTTATTTTTTTTAGGTAAATTGATTTTTATTTGTAGCCATGTTTGAAGTAATATGGTTGTATGTTTTAAATCTGTTCACATTCTATTATATGTGTTTCACGCCTTATTTTATTTATTGAACGTTGCTTCGTTTGGTTTATTCTTATCTAGGAAGAGGTGCATCATACTCAATATTTTTATATAAACATTGTAATTGTGTAGTTAACAAAATGACTCTTCTTTTTGGTCTTCCTTTGCTCATCTTTATGGGTATTGACTTTGTAAGGCGCTAAGGTTATAGCGGTTCAATCTATTGGTGCAGGAGGCCTTTTGTTAATTTTTCTTTTTTTTAAATCTGTTTATCAAGTATCTGTTGCATAAGTGCTCCAAGGGTGGATAGTAGTATGCTGCTTTACCCAATTGTTATATTTATCCCACTTCTATATCTTTTTTTTTTTTGTAGATTAAAATGAAGTTATGAATACATCCTTGAATTAACATAGAGTTACTCTGCCAAAGAACGGAGAGATGTAGCGAATGAATAGGCCAGATTTGCCCAATGGTGTTTAATGAACCTAAGAAAGTGTATCATGTTGAAATTGACTCAAATCAAATCAATTGGTATTCCTCTGCTATTCTCCTGATTATTTGATGCAAATGGAGCTGCAAATATATCCTTGAATTCACAGAGTTATTCAGGATGCCAAAGCACAAAGATGTAGCGAATGAATAGACCAGATTTTACCTATGTTAGTTAGTGAACTGAGGAAACTGTTTAATAGGCAGAGGCAAAGAGATTCGTAACAATTAGCATGTGTGGATTTATGTAAAATTTTTAGATCTAATGCATTTGTCACCTGCCTAGATTATTAGTGTTGAAAGCGTCCTTTAGTCTCATATTATTATGTGTTTCCTTTTTAGCCCGCCAGGTTATACTGTAATTCCCCAGATTCCCAACATACAGGCCTCAAATGGGGGAATCAAGGATCAAAATGGAACAAATATTTCTGGACAATTTCTGAAGAATCAACCCATTTCTTCTCAACACAATCTTACGCCCTTTCAAGTTCCAGTTTCCAGCACTGACTTGAGGGAGGCTGCTCTCGGCAATCCAAATCTACAGGGTTCTCCCTTAAAAGTTGAGAAACTGATTCAGAGCCAAATTGAGGTACAAGATCTGATATATTGTTTTAATTTGTTCATCTGTTTGTGTTCTTTTACTCTATGGAATACAATGCCCGACAAGATCTGCTAAGGATACTGCAAATAACCCCATAAAATATGTAAAAATTTTTAACAAAAAACTTTTGTTATACATTTGTGCGTAGATTTTTTCATATCTATAATATTACATAAAGATTATTTATATAAATTTTTTTTTTGATTTTTGATTATATTTCTCATTTGATGGTATCATCCTGATTGACTAAAGTCGCATGTATAGAAAAATAATATTACAATATTATTGCATAAACTGTTGCGTTTGATTCCTTTTTAGTCGAATGAAGACTAGATTTTTAATCTTGTACATCATTGTGCCATGCTAGTAATTATTTGGAATTAGATTCCCTACAACTTGTTGCGCAATTTGATATTGTTTTTTATCACATCAGCAATTAGAAGTACTATGGTCTTTTTATCTAATCTACTTGTAAACCTTATCTTTTGAGTAAATTGTCAAAATGGTCCTTACATGGGCATCATTTAAGTCAAAGTTTATAAAATTATTAAATTTGTCCCAAAATTTTTTAATGGGGGCTAAAATAATCCTCACCACGGACTATTCCAACAAATATTAAAAGAGATTATATTGACAATTTTATGAACTCTTGATTCCTGCTAAAAATTAAGGGGCCATTTTAACACTTTTCTCCTTATATTCAATCTAACAGTTCTTCCTTTCTAGCTGATAAATATTAAAACTGCACTTGTGTCATTCATGATAGCTTCTTCGAGCTCAGCTACAAGCTCTGGAACAATTAATGGCAGAGCAGTCAAAAGCCAGGAGCGCCGCCTCATCGAGCAGCAGGGTGCTGGCATCTTCTGACTGTGGTTGCCATGGCGAGGCCGAAGATGCTGACACAGATTAAGCCTTTTAGTTTAAAATAGATATAGAAAGATAAAAGTGGTAATAAGCAAACATAACAAGTTCAAAGAGTCATTATGGATCTCTGTCTTGCTGGTCAGAATCTTTAGATCAGTTAAGCAAAAGGATGTGAAGCGAGTTGGAAACTTGGAATGTAGATATTGCGGAAGCTGGTCAAGTATTTGAAGTTTTATTATTTGTATTGACTTTAATGTTTGAGTAACGATATATTAGCAGATTTTAATTCCTATTTCCTACTGACCCTTCTCTGTGTTTGAGAGAATTGGGAATCATCATAACATTTACGGTATTCATATTTGACCGAGTAATTATAAACTTTTGCAGTATGGCTTCAGTCTGATGCATCTTTTATGAATCTTTTTTTTTTTTTTTTTTTTTCCGGAGGATTTACATACTAATTTCCTATGTGTTTGCATATCTAACGTCTAAACTTCAATTTTTACACACACATATGTATGTATGCCGTCTTAGTTATGCATGAAAAAGGTGTATTTCACTTCTTAGAAGTTAAAATAGTGATATTTTTGATGTAATATGAAAGAAATATGTGGTATAAATATAAGTGTCAAAGTTTAGAGATGAAAGTCTGTTGACATGCTTCTTGCGGTGAGCCAAGCCCTGGAGCTGATCAGGTCGGGTTGGCTTGGTTGGTTTGGTCTGGTCTGATCTGGCTCAAGTTAAACCGATTCAAGAAAAATATGTATCTTAAGTTAATGCCATCAGGTTCCATGACCGTTGTATGCATATTTTCTATTGTCAGACAGTTTCATTGATATTCCAATTTCTTTTTGCTCTGGTTCTCAATTTCAATTTCCATTAAACAGATGCCTGTGAGATATAGCAGCCTCGCAAAATGTTGGGATTGCACCAACCATCTCTTACTCTTGGCCTCTCATATCTTCTAGCCATAGATCAACTCTTAGCTTTTCAGTCTTAATATTGTTGATCTACAGCTAGCTCTGCCTCCAACTAATAGTGTCACACCATCTCTGGTTCATGCTCCAGGTGCATCTCACTCGTCCTTCATCGCCTCTATTCATTGATCGGCTTAAAATCTCCATCTCCATCCTTCTCGATGCACCTCAAGCTTTGCCTTTGATGGATATCGACTTCCAGCTTCTCTAGCATTGGCCACTTGTAAACCTCTTCTAATGGATACATATCTTGTATGATTTAATTACACTTCAACTATGTTGAGATCTCTTACTTTGATATTTCATAAGATTATACATTTTACATTTGTTAATGACTATATGTTAATAGTACATTTATCTATTTTATAGTAACTCTTCATGTTTTTTTTTTTTTAATTTTATGATTTAATTTGTCAACATTAACTATCTTCACCATTTTATTAACTAAATTAAGCTTATATTCAAACTTAGGGTGTGTTGGTAGCCTCTTTTAATAGAATTTATCATCGGATTTATGATGTTATCTACACGCTTAGATGTTGAGTGTAATATTTTCTCATTTCGAAGAGGTATCGGAGAAGTAAATGTTCGATCAACAAGAATAGCAATTGAGCAAAATCTTAATGATCCTCTATTGCTTCCATATGACTACTTCCCACCTCTCTAGAAAATGCTGTTCTTTCTTCCCATAATTAATCCACCGCATGTCTTTTCTTCTAACTTATAGCGTTCCTACATTAAACACAAGACTACGTAGCAAGCAAGTTGCCCTTATAATCATCAAGATTTAGTTTTACAATGATGAATATCAAGATTAAATAATATTTTAAAATTTGTTAATGCTAAACTAATGTATTTTTGGCAAAATATGAAGATATACAATTCTTCCTAGTTTAATGCCCGCCAACAACTATGACGTCCGCTACCACTTGGGCAGATGGTAGACCAACATCCCATCTGAGTGCAATGATAGTCATTGATCTAGGCCACAGGCATTCTTGATCACCCATTAAGATCCCATCCAGTAAGTATAGTTAGTACCCACCACCAATTAAGTAACACTTATTTACAGGGACAGAACCAACCTCTTTTAGAGAGGAGACAAACTGTCCCCCCTAAACCCAACATGGGAGTGGATTAGGCAACAAAGAATAAAGTGATATATCAGGAAGGGCAAAAGTTCAAATTGTCCTACCATACAAGTAAATAATATGTATTTGAACCCCCTGGACCTTACGTGGGTCCACTCCTGCTTATTTGTAAGGTACGTTTCAACTAATCGTTTCCATAAGTAGCACAAATACTAATAAAATTATTAAATATATCATTAATTTGTATTTTTTGGAACACTTGAACTGTCATATCGTTCACATTACAGATAAAGAATCTCAAATAAATATTACCACTATGAGCACAGTTTAGGCTGAGTAGGACTTTCACCCTCAGCTTTTTAGCGGCCATGAATTTATGTGTTCTATCAATGGTTATGAAACAATCCTAAATTTGATAGATGATATTAGCGATAAAAATGAATTTAGATTGTATTTCATGTTCATACATTGAAAAAAAAACATAAATATATCATTTGATTGTATTTTTTTTTTCGAATTTTGAAGTGCACGATGGTTTACATCTCATATTATAACTCACATGTAGTATACAACATAACATTTAAGTACCAAATAAAAGTTTTGTTTGATTTTTTAAAAGTTAGATTGAATGAATCTATTATAGATACTTTGCACAAGCGTACACAAGCACAAAACAACCCGTTCTTTAATGGGCACATCCATTTTGTCTACTAGTAAATCTCTAGTAATAAATAAATGCATTATATATATACCATATTAACACAATCAAAATCAAATCCATGATAAAACCTGTAAAGATACCTTTCATGTTAAATATTTTTCAGGATTAAATCTTTATAATTGTTGTTCAACTCTTAAACCTTAAAACCTAAATCAAATTTGAGTAGAGAGACAGAGAGAGAGAGAGGGGTATGAAAGAGAGAAGAGGAGAGAAGAGAGAGAGAGAGAGAGAGACTGATGGAGCCGATAAAGAATGAGAGGGAGAGAGACAACGGAAAAATATAGAGAGAGAGTGAATGAGGGAGAGCGGTGGTGAGATAATGAGAAAGAGAGAATGGTTTGAGCGAGGGGATAGAGAGAGAAAGCATCCAAATATGGATGTGAGAGCGGGAGAACGAGAGAATATAAGGATGGAGAACTCTCACACTCGCTCTGCCTCTCCCTCTCCCTCTCCCTCTCCCTCTCTTTTGTTCCTCTTTCTCTCTCACAAAATAATGAACACCTTTGTACTAGCAATGCTAACTGGACTAGCTTTCACCTCTCATTTTTTACTTGTCATTATGTCTTTCTAGAAATCATCCCAACTGAATGATAATTCATTATTATCATTTGATCTTTTAGCCATTGATTGTTACTTCAGTTAGCACCAAATTGAGTTCACATAAAAATAAGTGAACGAGGGAAAAAAAAGTTGATCCCATCAAATCAGTTAAAAAATTAGTGATTTTAAGTTGCAATTAAAAAAAAAATGTACATAGCAAATTTAAACTTGCTCATTTGACAAAAGGAAAACTTAAGCAATCAACAATGGCAATGAAAAGAGCACATCAAAAATCTTTGAAAGACTAGTTATTTTAATAGTTGAAGTTAAGTTATTTAATTAATCAACAATGATGCATAACTCAAGTTGACTAAATGTTTTTATTCATACAATCAATAGTGCCCACACAACACCGAAGCAATGAGCATAATAAACAACCCAATAAATAGTTTAGCAATGAAGTTTACTAATGAACATTAGTTAAAATTTTCTTGCATAACATTACTATCCTTACTCTTAAAGCCAATTCTATTTACAACATCCTCTTCAGTCATTACATTACATGCCCAAAATCTACAATATAGATAAAGCCCTATCAGTTCATCTTAGAAACTAGAAGACAAAATGGTTAGCATTTCCTTTTACTTAATACAAAGCCGCAAATATTACTTGATTCATCCAAATCTTAAAATAGCCTGACCTCTAAAATTCCAACTATTATTACTAAAAACCAATAATAATTTAATAAACAAAAATTAGATGTCTGTTAATCAATGAAAATGCAGGCAAACCAACAACCACCTTAATCACTCATATTTGAAATATAAGTTGGTTTAATAGTTCCATCGAATAACTTCTCGAAAGCATTTGAGAAAAAAAATTACCATTAGTTAAAAAGACAATATCAGTCGTTAGAACATCTTATAGAAATAAATAAATATCCTTAGAGGCTAGAAATATGCAGTTTGGTAAGGAACTCAAATCCAGCCAGGTTGAAAAATAATAATTTGACATTTTAGAACATTGAAATATAAAGCTAATTATAAACCATAATCTTTTGCAAGAGAAAAAAAAAACTCAAATCACATAATGTTTTCTAGTAAATCAAGTCACCTAAAAACAACAAGGTAATGAACATTATATATTACATATGGAGTCTGATTGTTGGTGACCAATGTTTTACGAAAGTAAAAAGATTAGCATCTCATGTATCAGGAGGCGAACCAGAAGCCCTCGTGTCATGGAGCAGAAATAGGCGTTGTAATGGGGCACCCTTACAGCAGTGCAGTGGCCCAAGGACCAAAGCCGGTACTGCTGCTCCCAATTAGGCTCGCTTCCAGTTTCCGAAACGAAATGATTGGAAACTCAACCCCTGAGGGTGGCACTTAGGCGCCTGTAACCAAATTCATGTATTACAAGATTTAATTCTTCATTTTTTCTTGTGGGGAAGTGAGCGAGCAGAAGAGCAAAAGTGTGCTAAAATTTGATTTTGTTAATTCTCTTGTGAGAAAAAGAGAAAGAAGTGTCTGTGAGTTTCAGAATTGTAGAGAGGCTTGAGTGTGATATAATTTGTACTATTTTTCTTCTTTTCATAATGGATCTCTTAGTGTGGTGTGGCTCCATTAATTTTTACCGTTTTAAGATTTTTCAACATTAAATCTTGGTGTTCATTTTATATTCTATTTTTCCCTGTTTGTGCACTTATGTTCATATTTTTTTTTTGTATATCTCGAAGCGGTGTTTCAGTATTTTTTTAATTTTTAACACAAGTGGTATCAGAACAGAGTTTTCTGGAGATCATAGGTTCGAGTGAGTAATAAATGACGAAGCCAGATACAAGGTAGATAAGTTCAACTATTTGAACTTTGCTTTCTGGAAAAGGCAAATTAAAGATTTATTGTATCAAAATGTATTGCATTTGCCATAAGAAGGATACAATAAATCCTTCTTATGGCAATTCTTGATCGAACAACACAAGATTTGATCCTTCTTTTACTTTCCTCATTTATTGCTTTCAATATTGTGAATGAGAAAACTATAGTTGATCTCATGACAACAATAAAAAAGATATATGAGAAGCCTTCAGCTCCAAATAAAGTTTTTATGATGAAGAGATTGTTCAAAATAAAGATGGTGGATGACAGTTCAATAGTTGAGCATTTGAATAACTTCAACACCGTGACTAATCAGTTGTGTTTAGTTGGCATTAAGTTCGATGATGAGGTTAGGGCAATGTTACTCTTATCTTACTACGAAACAGTTAGGATTGACTAGTCATTGCAATGAGAAACTCTTCAGGTAACAAGAAGCTAAACTTTGATAACATTGTGGGGTTAGTGCTGAATGAATAAGTCCGTAAGAAGGAGAGCAGTGAAACTTCGAAATCTGCTTTGAAAGTTGAGAACAGATGAATGGATCTGGATAAAAACATAGGCATCAAAAGATTCAAGATCAGGAGAGGAAAGTCCAGGTCAAGAAGAGAAAAAGGAAGATGTGGATGTTGAAATCGTGGGGAAAAAATGACACTTCAAGAAGAATTGTAAAGCTTAAAGGTTGGTGGTGGAGGTTCATATATGAAGCTCTCTACAAATGTCTCTACATATGAAATCTAATGCGACTTCTTTATTTTGTCCTTAGATAATACTAACTCTTGGATGATGCACGCCCCAATAAATAAGTGTTCAAAAACTACACTCAAAGTGATCGAATGAATGTGTATTTGAACGATAACAAGGCTTAGAATATTTGTTGAAAAGGGTAGTGTTGATATCAGATTGTCAAATTGATCAATCTGGAAGCTCAATAAAATTAGACATTTTTCTTGTTTGAAGAAAAAGTTGATTTATGTGAACTAGCTTGCAAGGTTGGTGTATGTAAATACTTTCACAGGTGATTCATGAATGTGACCAGAGGAGCAATAATGATGTATCAAGGAAATATTGAAGAACCCTTTACTTGATCAATGAGATGTATGAATCCATTGGTGTTGCTAGAACAAAGGGTTATGCGGGTCTACAACACTGCAAAACTTGGCTATATGAATGAGTAATGTATGAAGTCCCTCATTTCTAAGAACAAACTTCATGGTTTATAGTCTAGAGTTTGATTATTGTGAAGATTATATTTATGGTAAACAAAAGAAAGTTATTTTCTCTGAAAGTGGGTCGAAGATGGAATCCAAAAAGTTGGAGTTAGTGCATACAAATGTATGTCGTCCTACTCCAGTTCAGTTTATTGGAAGTTTTCAATACTTTGTCACTTTTATTAATGATTACATCAGGAATGTATACTTCTTAAAACATAAATTTGATATATTTGAAGTGTTTAAGAAGTGGAAAGTCATGGTTGAGAATGAGACAGACTTGAGGTTGAAATATCTCACATCAGTTAATGGTAGTGAATATCATGATGAGATGTTTAGAAGTTATAGTGCTTGAAGGGGAATCATGCATGAGTTCACAATTCTAAGAACACCACAATAAAAGAGTGTGTTGAGAGCATGAATAGAACCATCACTGAGCGTGCCAAAAGTATGAACTTGCTTGTAGGTTTGCCAAAATAATTCCGGGTAGAAGCAATAAATATTATAGTTTATTTTATAAATCGTGGTTTGTTGGTACCTTTAGTGAAGGCTTACATGAAAAAACCTGGAGTGGATATGCCTTAGATGAATTTGGGTACAAATTCCGGGACTATCAGAATTAGAAATTAATTAGGAACGGGGATGTTACTTTTAATAAAATGAAGAGCATTCAAAATATGTAAAGATAGAAGATACTAGTGATCAAGAAGACGAAAAAGAAAATGTTTAATGAAGCAGAAGAAGTTCGTCAAACACCTGCTACTAAAGTCGGGGGTTCTAATGAAATCACACAACTGATATATAGGTATTATCCTTTTTTGTACTATTTAGTGAACAAGAGTGCTCTGAAGACACCACTCCAGTTGAAGACTCAAAGGAGTGGGAGTTTGACATGGATGACAAGAAACAATCACTAAGATCCAATTAGGCATGAGATTTGATATAATAACTATATGGAAAAAAGGCACTGCACAATAAGTAGATTTACAGGCTAAAAAAAGAGTCAGATGGTAGTAGACACTATAAGGAGAGAGTTATTATAAAGGGTTTTTAACAAAAGGAAGGAGTGAACTACACTGACATATTTTTTCCTGCAATGAAGATGCCAACTATTAGAGTTGTGCTAAGCTTGATGGTAGAGAAATATCTACATTTGTAATAGATAGATGTGAAAACAATTTTCCTCTATGATGACTTAGAAGAGCAATTGTATTTGGTGTAGTCGCAGGGATATAAAGTTCCAAGAAAAGAAGACAAGATCTGCAGACTGAAGAAGAGCCTTTATGATTTGAAGCAGACCCCAAGATAGTGGTACATGAGATTTGATAGATTTATGTCCGATAATGTGTACATTAAGTGCCAAGCAGATCACTATTATTTTATTAAATAGTTTGGTAATTATTATATTCTACTTATTTTGTATGTTTATGGCATGCTGATTGCAGAAGCATATATCGAGAAGATTGAGGATTTCAATAAAAAATTATGAAAGAAGTTTGAAATGAAAGATTTAGGTCCAACAAAAAAAAAATCTTTGAGATGACAAACAACAGGAATCAAAGTGCAGGAACACTAAAGTTATCTCAAGTAGAATATGTTGAGAAGGTCCTACATAAATTCACAAGTGAGATAAAACCAATTTGCACCCTCATAGATAGTCACTTCAAGCCATCTAAGGAACAATCGTCCAAGTTTGAAGCAAAGCAAACACAAATTAAAAGAATCCCATATGTTTCAGCAGTTGAAAGTTTGATGTCTACGATGATATATACAAGTCCAAATACTGCACATGCAGTGGGAGTGGTCAACGGGTATAATGAGTAATTTAGGAAAATATCATTGGGAGATAGTAAAGTGACTTCTCAAATACTTGAGAGAAATAAATCAACAAGACACTTTATTTTAGAAGTGCATGAATTAATCAGTGAATCATGTTTCCAGATTTGAATCATTGAATTGGGGAACAAAGCGGTGAATTGAGTTCCAGATTGCGAAAGGTGCACTTTATACTACAGAAGTTGAGCACATTGCTATCACTCAGGCTACAAAGAAAAATATTAGCTACAAGACTTCATGAAAAACTAGGCAAGGAGCAAGAGGTTGGAAAGTTTCATAGTATTAATATGATTGATATTCATCTAATAAAAAACACCATTTTTCATGTTATGACAAAACACGTTCAACTAAAGTATCATTTCATTCGTTTACTCCTACAGGTGGTCAGTTATAGTTGGAGAAAATACACACAACTCATTATTATATAGATATGTTGACTAACATAGTTACAACTGAGAAACTAATGTTATGTTTGACTTTTGTTGGAGTGCAAATGGTTGAGACCGAGGGTTGAGCTATAGGTCATTAATATGAAGGGTATAGATTGGAGGAAAGAAATTGATTGTAATCAATCTCTAAGTAGAAGATTGTTATATATGAAGCATGATTGGTGATCAATGTTTTACTCAAGCAAGGATAGTAGTGCATGGGTGCTGCAATGGGGCTCCAATATGCAAGTGCAGGCACCTCATCGCTAGAGCAGATGCCCCGACACCAGAGCAGACATTGATGCGCCCAGCCAGGCTCATTTCCAATTTCTAAAACAGAGCGCCCAAAAACTCAATTCCTTGGAGTGGCCCTTAGGTGCCTGCAACTAAATTTCTGTAATTCGAGATTTAAGTCTTCATTTTTTGTTTTTGTAAAGTAGGCAAGTAGAAGGGCAACTGCACGTTGAAGTTGAACATCGCGTGTTTTCTTGTGATACAGAAAAGAGTGTTCTTGAGTTCCAAGATTTTAGAGAGGCTTGAGTATGGTATAATTTGTTCTATTTCTCCACTTTTCATAGTGATTTTTTTTTTGCTTGATGTAGCTCTATAGTTTTTTCCAGTTCTTGAGTATTTTCACGCTAAATTTTGATGCTCTTTGTATTTTATGTATTTTTTTTTATTTGTGTGTCTGTAGATAGGCTTACTCGAGATCTCTCGAATTGATGTTTTAATGATTTTCAATCTCTAACACAACATTATTATGAACTGCATAGAAATTCTAGCCATAAAAAGTTATCAATGAACATTACACTTGGCTTACACATCATAGCCGTTATAGCTCTTTGGAAATCGTTCCATTGGTTTCTCACCCTTTATTTATTACTTTAATTTAAAAGGAAAATAGTAAAGGTTATCTCTAAAACTCAATATGTAGTAGGCAAAGTCAGCACTAATTTCTGCATTAAAAAAAAATAAAAATTTGAAAATCTTTATACCAGCTTTCCTCCTTTACCAACAAAATTAAAAAATATTGAATTGAAAACTATAAATTACTTATAAAATGCAGCAAAATATTATAGTCTGTAAAAATTGAGATATGGAAACAAACTTAAAAAATATTTGAATTGGAAATAGCTCCGAAGAATTCACTACTTTGTATTTACTTCATGCCAAGCAAACAAAACATTAAAATGGATGCAAAATAAATATAGTGCACACCTTTTTTTCAACCAACCAAATATCCATTTAACAAAACAAATAAAATCCAGAAATATGATGAAAGGCCGAGTTAAAAGTGTCCAAATTCATCGAAGCAAAACAAAAATTGCAGCAAGATCATAAACATTTTTGGAAAAACCAAGAAAAAAATCACCCATTTAACAAATAAATTATTAATGCTGCAAATTCAATCTGATGGTAATGTAACCAAACTTCTGGTTCAAAGGCCATAACAAAGTGCAGTATCATCTTCTTTAAAGTGCCTTGTTCATGCAACTCATTAATTAGCATGAAATGAGAAAGATTGTAAAATAAATAAAAAATTAGCACATTAAAAATGTCAAAGACACAGCAAATTAAACATTTCATCACCCCTAACAATAAAATCTTTGCTATTGGGATGAAGGCTTAAGACAATAATGATCCTCATCAAAATAGTCACAAGTAATTTGATTAATTATCCCAAATGATTGCAACCACATGCCTCATCTCTCTCACCACTCATAAAACAGCAATTCCTTGGATATATTCAAGCGCACTACAAAAACAATGCCCTTATCTGAAGTATTTTCTTAGTCATATTTCTTCCGGTTATTTTGGCGGCGGTATAAGATCTGTAAATGGCAAATTAGAACACTATTATGATTATGTAATAAGAAAATCTTACATATATGCAATTAAAGTAAAAGTGCAATCAATTTGGCTTCCTGTTCTAATGGAACAAGTTGGCTTCAAGCTCATGCCATGCAAGTACAAACAGAATAAGTTAAATCTGCATTCCTTCATGGTATCTATAATTCTGGTGATGAGACTAATGACCAGGATATAGTATATTTGTTCAAAACTGAATTTGCAACACCTCAGCCAGCAACAAAAATCCAATTTGGATGCATTAGTCGGAGAAGATAACTTGAGGATGAAAGCACGAGGAATGAGAACTCGAGTGAATAATTGATTGTCTTACTTGTATGATATTGGCCATAATTTTTTTTATATAATCGTGACAATTGGACAGAGAAGGTTTCAATTTACGACATATGTAGGTTTTTATGCCTTTTTCATGAAAACTATATCCCTATTTAATGCATTTTTGTATCATTAGGGTACTTAGTTTATCATTTCTCTACTTATCATTCAATGCAATTATTTTGAATGCACTAATACAATTACAGACATTTTTGAGAGCTACTCATAACAGGTGAAACACCTCACGTTATAGGCATTGTTCTTTTAAAAATTGAAGAGCAAAAAATCATGGTACAACAAAAGATGTGCACCAAATCTTAAGACACTATGATTGTCTGCCAAAGTTTTCATATAAAATGAAAAAAATTAAAAATTTCTGACAAAATCATGACATGATCCTATACATAGATCTCTACTGAAAGAAACATCGTTAATAAGAAACGAGCAATTTAAAACTATTCACTCTAAAATCTGCAGTATTGCAAAAATTATGGAGCCCCAATCAATAATAAACTAGGAAAGATTTCCGATCCAAATAAATATCTTGATACAAGAAATAAACTAAGACAGAATTCAGCCATCCAACATAATTGTCTTGCGAAAGAAGCCCTCGGACAATAAATCTCAGAATCATGTGACGTTCCAAACTCCTTAGATAGCCTGAAATTACGAAATCAGAATCAAAAGAATGAAAACAAAACATTGAGAAATAATATGATATAAATCACACTTCATTTCATTTGGCAATCACTGCCAAGACGAGAACCTAGAATGAAGTATTCATGCAAGCTCATAAGATAAATCTTTTATTCAAATAATACTTTATAAAGAGTCTTTGTCCAAAAAACATTTAAATATTATGGCATCCAAACAAAAAGGGCAAAAATGACCTTATCACTATGAAAACCTCAAACATGATATATTTAAAGCAAATTGGGATCTATTTTAAGGAAAAGTTTGCGCCAAGAGTTCTTGATACAAATGTGTATCTGGGGCCTCTGACCTATTTTTATCTGCTAGCCACAAGCCTTAATAGTAGTACCATAACCAACCCAACTAGAGTAAATCCAATAATTATCAATTTAAAATCAGGCTAAGCCCTTCGCAAATCAGATATAATAAAAATCAATTCATTTGCGTTTTAATTCTCCATTGGATTTGATTTGAAAACCAGCGTTCTCTCCCCAACAAAAAAAAAGATTTGGGGGGGGGTTGCCAATATGGTAGCCTATTCCAATTGAATAGCTTATATAAAAATTCATAAAATGAATGGTAGTCAATGTTTACTAGTACTAGGCTATTCACCGAAAGTGACACTCCAAAACTATCTCAATTGCAGTGAAGCAGACAAGGGTTGGAGGGGTATCATCTATAAGAGGTGAGCTACTACTAAATTGGATTGTTGTGTAAATTAAGCAAGGGATTACTAGAACAACACAACAGATAATGCACCAAGGTATAAAACCTTTGCCCTAAAATTAGGCAGAAGCTAAGTACTACAAGAGAAGTCTAGTTAATTAGTGGCAGAAAGAATCGGAGAAAAAATAACACATTTGCAAGAACCAAAATGAAAACTGAAATATTTAAATCAACAGGAAGGGTATTAACTATTGTTTTTTGGGCATGCCGGCAAAAGGAGTGAAGGATAGTCATGGATAGAGAGTTCATAATTAAATTGCTAAGGTGGATAAAAATAATGAGCGTGATTACATGAGTTAATAATGATAAATAAATAGATTAACCACCATAAGAAAAAACTAAGAAATAACAATAGGAGATGATTAACAGTGGGGATCTAAATGGCATTTAGATTACAGCAAACTAACACATATTTGCAAGAACCAAAATGAAAACTGAAAAACTTAAATCAACGGGAAGGGTATTAACTATTGTTTTTTGGGCATGCCGGCAAAAGGAGTGAAGGATGGTCATGGATAGAGAGTTCATGACTAAATTGATAAGGTGGATAAAAAAAACGAGTGTGATTACATAAGTTAATAATGATAAATAAATAGATTAACCACCATAAGAAAAAACTAAACGTGACAATAGGAGACGATTAAGAAACCAAGAAGAAAACTTGCTCCTCTTTAACTAAACTTTTAAGTGAAAATTTTCTTTGTTAAGAAATTAGAAAAGAAAGTTTATAAAATAATTTTCAAAAATATTGATCATGCAATATACAATAATAGCTATAAACATGTATCATAAATGTTTAGAAATATATCAAGCATATAATTACCTAAAAATATTTTAGACTCGGCTTATATTAAGAAAGGTAGGGGTAGACCTAAAAAGACTTCGGCTTATTGTAGAAAAAATGATCTTAGTCTATTAGAATTAAATGAAAAATGACACTCAATAGGATGCAATGGAGAAAAAGGATTCATGTAGCCTACCCCATTTAGTTAGTGGGATAAAGTAAAGGCTTGTTGTTATTGTTGTTGTTGTTGCTTTGGTTGTTGTAGTCTAATTACCTAAAAAATAAGATGGTGGAAGTTATATTATCAATCATTTATGATATGTTCTTAAGATAGACAAATTTGAACTTAAAAATTAGCCAAACAATGAGTGGATTAAATGAATAAATTTATTAAAAATATTGGCACAGAAATTCTATAAGACTTTCAAAGTAGATTGTATATAATGAGATACGGTGATTGAGTGAAAGCTACACAACATAACTGATAGAAAGAAATATTTACTTAAAAAGTGATAAGATAAAAGTACAATTGAGACATCAAACAATTTAATGAAGCTAAACAAAAAATAATGTAAAGAGGATAATAAATTTAAGCCAAAACTTTAGTTTATCATGATTTTATTGCGCTAACCAATTAGGCAAAATTATGCAAAATAATAGCTAAGCAAATAAATGATATTTTGATATTTTGATCGTGCTAGAAGCATTAAGAGTGACAGTAAGAACTTAAATAAAAAATAAATCAGAAAAATTAAATAATATTTTTGAGATATTATAATGGGAGAAAAAAGAATTTAACCATAAGAGAAAAATTAATAAAATATTAGATTCGATTGGCACTAACAAAGATGCATAAAAGTAAAATTTTAGTTCAAGCTTGTTTTAATACAAACATCTTGGCTTATATTTATAAAAAAATCAAGACATATGTTCAGATAAGTGGATTGAGAGTCAAAGTAAAGACTTTAATTTCATTTATGTTATTTATTTTATTAGCTTTTTTTCTTCAAAAGTTTAATATTTTCCCGTGATAAACATGCATATGATAATTGTACAAAATGCCATGTTTTCTAATGTTTTAAACTTTCTTCGTCTTTCTGTTCATTTTCTTGTAATGGTTTAGTTAGATTTGACAACTAGTTCTCAGTTTTGCTCTCTATTATGTTCAATCACACATTCCTTGGCTGATTCAACCTCTATTATTAAAATTTTGAGCCTTTAATTAGTTAAGCTTAGTGCACCTCAGGTTGTGACTTGCGATTAAGTTCTGCAGTTGATTAAGTACTTGTGAGACTTTCTTGCACTTTTGCACAAGAGTTCCAACCATGACTTTGAGTCTATAAATTTGTTGACTATATATAGTTGTTAAACTTATCTTCTAATCTTTAAGTTAGGGAATCTCTAATTTAAAAAAGGGGTTCCCAAAGAATGCAAAAAAAAAAAAAAAAAAAAAAAAAATAATATAATGTTTCCGGATTTAGTTTCCGGATTTAATTTGTTTCTACTATGTGCTCAGGTGCTAGTGAATACAATTCTTTCTATAGCTTTTTATAGCCACTGAGTATAAAATTCTAGGAATAATTAAATTATTGCTTATGTGGATTTTTCAAAATTTTTTTTATTGGGGTTTCAACTAACTTAGATGCTTATGAATTACAAAATTGACCTTATGTATGAAATTTTGTTTCTTTCATACAAGATCTGCATAGAGAAGCTCTATAACTTAAGATGCCCTCATTAGATTTAGAAACATAGCTTAACAGTCTAGCATTAGTTCAATAAAAAATAATATAATGTAAATTAAATAAAGTTGAGTACGATATGGCTTTAGAAAACTATAATATGATAATCATGAGGCTCAACATATATTCCAATATTTGCTGAAAGATATAATTTATTCAACTTTTTAAAGTGAATTTATAATTTGAAATTTTTATTCAAATATTATAATAAATTTGAACCGCAGATAGTTGAATTTACAAAAGCAAAAGTAATAATAGAAGCTTAATATTACTGGAATACAATCAAATAAGGTTCCATTTGTGTTTAACTTGTTAAAAAAAGTGAGCTTAAATATGTCCAAACTCAGCTCAATTAATGATCCAGTCAAACACTAGCATCTTAGCAAGCTGAATAACAGTTGTTTGTAAATGGAAGGCTTTTTATACACCACCAAGCAAAAAATAAAGAATAAAAAAAGCATGAACAAAGTTTATCTTATAAGAGAACCAATTCATGAATATTTTTTAATGATAAATTAAATACTGAAGAAGATTTATAATTATAACATGACTCTACCTACATCTACTTTTATTAAATCTGAATTGCAAATACATTATAATATGTTAATGAACCTAAACTTAGGGTTTAAAAAGTCAGCGAACACATATGAAATTGAAATTGAACATATGACCATATCAAAATCTAAAATTCTGATAAGAAGCATAATCTATTCCTAAATGTGAAACTGTACAAACATGGTTGTTGCAATTCATTAATCAATAGGGCAAACTATTCTTGGACATCATCTGCCAACAATATTCCTATAATCATGATGAGATTGAAATCAATTTTACATTTAGTTCTTGGTTTCTCGATTTGAAAAGTCATAATACAGAAGAGAGTTACATTGCGCCAACATTTTTAAAGATTTTTTTATGATGATTACTTCAAAGAAAACTTTGAATTTAAAACTCATCAATCCGGTCATATCTAAATCTTCATAAATCATCACAATTAAAATTTAAAACCTTTGGATTAATTTACTTTTAAAAGCATTTTTTGTTCATAAAGCAATCATATTTTGTGTGAATTTTTTTTTTAATTTTATTTATCTCTTTCTCAAAGAATTGGTATTAGTTCATTCACTAATAATTTATTTAGAAATAAAAACTACTATTTTAGCATTTGTGATTATTTACCTTAACATATTGGTCATTTACATGGTTGCATAAAAGTACTCATACAAAAATTTTAATGATTACAATTATAAGTTTATTAAAGATCAGAATTGGAGATAAATATAATTCAAATTGGGTGATAAGGTAAAAGTTTATATAGAATCTAAGATGTTACTTTGCAAAATCAACCAAAAAATTAATTACTAGAAAAACAAGACCATATAAAAAGGCAACACATTAGCATGAAAACTGTACGCTAAAATTTCAAAAATTCTGATATTAGTTTAACACTCAATTTATCTGATTTCATTTTATTTTATGCACCCGCTACTAATGCCTTGACTTCCTCTCAAAGTTCATTGCTTCCTTGGGGATTAAGATCCAACGCATCTGACTGCATAAGCAATATTAGATGATGTGATTACGTCCATTAGTGATGGTCGTTATCAAAGATATTTTATGCATTAATTTGACAGATGTAGACGTAATGACTCATTAGATTGTTTTATAGGAAGCACAATAATTATGCCACAAATTGGCTTTGCAAATATCAAATGCTCAATTAATCCTTATCAAAAGTATTTTATGAATTGATTTAACCAATCTACATTAAATAATTCATTGATTAATGCATGAAAAGCACAATAATTTAGCCTTAGTTTGCTTATAAATATCAAATGATCAATTCTTTTGAGCTCATTTTTTTCTCATTTGAAGCAAATTTAGTGAAAAACGCAAAGTTTATACTGGTCAAACATAGATTGTGTGCACTGAGATGAGTAGACTGATAGTTTGAGCGCTAAATCTACTTTAATTTATGTTATTTTATTTTAGTAGTTGTTTTATTTAGTAAATTAATGTTCTTCACTTAATAAACGTCCATAGTTCTCAAATGTTTTGAAACTTTTCTCCACCTTGGATTTGTTTTGATTCCATTTGTTGGTATAGTTCAACTAAGATTCTTTGTTTTGCTCTCTGTTTAGTTTATTCATTGGTTCTTTAACTGGTTTATTTCGTCTTTGGCAATATCCTTGGTAATTAATGGGCTTTACTTGGAATATTGGACTTAGCTTTTTTCAGACTTCCCAATAACCTTTATTCGTTGCTGATATTGCATTGCTTCAGGAGTACTGGTTCTCTCTAGCTTGCATTAATTGTTGCTCTATCGCTATCACTTGCAGCCTCTTAACTCAAAAGAATTGCAAATTTGTCCGTGTGACTTCATTGTGGTTTTGCATGAGAATCAGCCAACGGATTCAACTCCAAATGGATTTTTCATTGGATATAGCTGCCAAACCTATATTTGGATATTATAAATTGGGGAATCTATGATTATAAATAGAAGTTTCTGAGGCATGTAAAAAAAGTTTCAATAATGCTTCCTAGAGTTATTTTGTTCCTAACTGTACTAGTTGGGTACAAGCCTTTCAAGCTTGGACTGTTGGTGACTACAAATCTTTGCAAGGGAAGTCATCTCCTTGTTCCGGTTTGAGGCCCAAATTAATTTTTTGTTGATACCATTGCGTATTCCTTTATATTCTATAATTTTAGTTATCATTAGGCTTCAATAATGCTTCCTAGAGTTTTTTTGTTCCTATCTGTACTAGTTGGGTACAAGCCTTTCAAGCTCGGACTGTTGGTGACTACAAACCTTTGGGACGGAAGTTATCTCGTTGTTCAACATTGCATATTCCTTTATATTCTATAATTTTAGTTATCATTTTCCTGGCATAAGTGGATTTAGTTAAACAAACAGAATTTTCTAGCTGTGGTCAAATTCTTGATAAAAATGCAACTTTTTTATGATCTTATTTTGGTGTGTGATTCTTTCAGATGATTATAATATTGTTACCTGTGTAAATTTTGCATTTCTTTGTCTTTTTCCATCAAATGGGACAGTTAATTGTCTAATTTAAAAGTTTGTGAAATGCAAATTTCATTGCGAGTGTGATTTTGTGTATCTCATTTTAGATCAACATATATGACACTAAATAGGACGCAATGGAGAAAAAGGATTCATGTAGCCGACCCCACGTAGTGGGATTAAGGCTTTGTTGTTGTTGTTGTTGTATTAGAAAATCCTAGATCCTATAATGTCCCATATCGGTTTCAAACAAGTTACACGCATATGAGAAACACCATTAAACAAAAAAATATGCAACTACTAAGCCAAAGTTCGAATGCAAAAAATGCTAACAAAAGCTTTTAAAATAAGTTAGCTGTAAATTTACTAAGCTGATGAGAATTTGTGAATAGGGAATGTAAAAACTCATTCAGATTTGTAGCTAATTCACTAGGTTGAAAAAAAGCCGAAAGAATTTAAAGCTCAATTCCAAGTTCCATCAACCCCCCATGTTGCTAAATACAAAGCTATGCCTGAAAACTATAAAATTTAGCTTAGGCATTGTCTGAAACAATGGTCACAGCGCTTTTCGTTTTAATAAAAAAAATATTTTTTAATTTAATGGACTGTCTGACTAAAAATATTTTAGTGATACCGAAGTTAACCCAAATCATAATAGAGATGTAAATATTATTGTTGAAACTCAATGGGGTTAAAAACAAGGACATTTGACAATAAAAAAATAACAACAAAAAAATAAAATACACTCTAGGGCGATGGTGAAGGTGGTGGGCTGCGGGTTGAGGTGGTGGAATTGAGGAGTTGTAGGTCAGGGGGTTGGGCGTCAGCAAGCAGGGGAAGGACCCAGGAATGTTGGCAGCGAGCAAGTGGTTCTCGAATGATGGCAACGAGTAGGTGGGTGGAAGAAGTGAGGAAATATATGGGGATAGTCACCACCTCGAAGCAAGATACAGTCGGAGCACCACTTGTCATCGGATACAACTCTATAAATGAGAACTTGAGATGCTGATGGCTGTCCATGCAGAAAAATCAACAAAAAACTGAACCGTAAAACTAAAAAACACATAAATACTAGTAGATAGCTAGGAGAGATGGAACCCTTCTTCCTATTTGTGCGGCAGCCCTCTTTCCTAAAGTCGGTCAGCCCTAATTTTACCACAGCTGAACTGGTCCTATTCAGCCAAAAAAGCAACCTGGAAACTCCCACGTCAGTCTCCCGAGGGTGAGGTAGTTTCGATCTCATTCGTTGAAGGTTCTAGTTCCAAGTTGACGGTGATGGCGTTGCTATAATCTCCTGGGGCTAAAGAAGCTTCGACTGTGGCCCTAGTAGCACCTAGATCCCATTTTGGATCACACCGTCTCCCAAAACACAGGAGTTTTCTCCACTTGTGTGCATACATCCATATAAATCCAGTCTGCTGGCAGTAAACTACTGAGCTTCCCTAAAACTTTGTGTCACATGTATTCTGTTGAATCCTCCCAAAGTAATTTATGTTTGGCTCAACATAATATGACGTGTGGGTAACTTGAATCTCCATGAAAGGTGGTGGCCATGGCTGTGAGGTATCGAGCGTGATTTCTTGAGACACTCTTTGAACGGGTTGCTCCATGTTTAATATTGATATCTTCGTCCTGTCATCCTCTATCATCACCAAAATGAATACCATCGACGGTTCTCTGCTGGAAAAATCACTTATGATCTCAGACTCCATCGAAGTAGAAGGATGATGTGCTTACCATCCTAGGTGAACATATCGTGTCGAGTCCTACGGTAAAATTGTCACGATCTTCCAAAAAAAGGTGGCAAACATTATTGGGCACCACGTCACACCATACCAAATCCCGCAGATGACTTCCAATCGAAAACTCCACTAGGCACATCCAGTCAATGTTGACACTATTCTCCTTCAACCATGTCAGAGAATATGATCGGGAATGCCTTTAAGTCACGAGGCCTAATTTCTCCATCTTTGTAAACGCCACGTTATTGTTGCTCCCTCCATGGATGATGAGACTACATACATTCCCATTCATAGTGCAACTGGTGTAGTATATATTGCGGTGAAACCACTACAGATCCCTCATATCCTCAATTTATAGGACCCGTCGAACCACAAGCAATTCACCCTCATCCAAGCGAAAGATAATACACCTCACCTTATTCTTCAGTTGCCGCCTCGTTTCTAATCTCCTCCACGACACCCTACTTTATAAAAGACACGACCTGACTCGTAGGCAGCTGGAGGTGATGTGCTCAAATTCATGGCATCTAAAGCATTTTCAGGGAGGAACTATAATAGGTGTGTCACTCTTCTCAAGCTTCTTCTCACTCGGGGTGGTTCTATCCTTATCTAAACCAATTTTCTTAACTCCTTGAGGCGTGCTCTTGATGATGTCTCCAACTATGGGTGACTACCTGAATGACGGTATTTGTTTGCTTTGTTTCTGTTATATCTCCACCTTCAAGGCTAAGGTTTGGACATCTCCCAGCGATCAATAAGGCTGCAGATGCACAATGTTGCTGATAGTTGCAGGCCCCCCAAATAACGTGCTATGGTATGTTCCTCTGACACGACCAACTCACACTTCATCTGCAATCAGTCAAACTACGTTGTGAACTCGTCCACTGATAGATCTCTCTGTTGTAGGTGCTAGAATCTCAAAAACATATCCTGGCGGTAATGAGAAGGTAAGTATTTTCTCTGTATCTCCTTCATCATTTTTTCCTAAATAGTAATCTTGTCAATGTCCTCTATCTTTCTCTATCTCTACATGTTTTCCCACTATAACGAGGCGCTCTTCTTCAACTAGATTACTGCTAGTTTTAATCGTTCATCCTCTGGCACTTTCTTATACTAGTAGATTTGCTCAACAGAATGCAATTAGTCGATAAAGTTGTTTGGATCGATACCTCCATCGAATGCTGGTAAATCCACTTTAATGTCAAAATCCCAGTGTCCTCCATATGTTGTCTCCTCTCTCGGCCTTCTCTGATACTAAATTTTGAAGATTAGGAACCTGATTCCTCATCAATGACGTCTTCCCTATGAAATGGATTCAGATCCTCATCCCTTTCTCCCATTCGGCTCTCCAGCTTAAGTTCGAGAGTAATTTCCTCCTAGGTTCCATCGTCAATGCAAGCCTTTGTTGAAGTTGATAGATCTCATGTATCTTCTTGGTGGCATGATTAAGGTTTGGGGATTGGAATGCGTGATTGCGGATATGAAAGAAAATTTTTGATGGAAGGGTAAGGCGGATGCTAGGAAACCTAAGATAAGACTAGGGTTAAAGTAGTTCTGATACTAACTGATACCAGAGTTAACCCAAACCATAATAGAAATAAAAATATTCTTGGTGAAATTTAATAAGGTTACAAACAGGGACTCTTGAGAATAGAAAAACAACACAAACATAAAAGACACTCTAGGGTGATGGCAAAGGTGGTGGGCTATGGGTTGAGGTGGTGCAATCAGAGAGTTTTAGGCGAGGGGAGAGAGCTTGTGGCAACAAGATGGATGTAGGTGTGCGGCTAGACAATAGGTAGAGTTGTGGGGGAGGTGCGGCAACAGGTTTGGAGAAAAAGGTGAGGGCAGTAACAGTTGCAATGATTCTCAGGTTGGGTGTCAGCAAGCAAGGGAGGGACGCAGAAATGTTGGTAGCAAGTAGGGTAGGGACGCAAGAACGTTGGCAGCAAGCAGGTAGGTGGCAATAAGGTTGACAAAGAGGAGGTGGGTGGCAATAAGGCTGACAAAGAGCAGGTGGGTGGAAGAAATGAGGAAATGTGTGGAGATAGTCACCACCTATGAACAAAATTTAACTGAAGCATCATCTGTACTCGGATACAATCATAGAAGGGAGAACTTGAGACGCTGATGGCTGTCCCTACAAAAAATTCAATGAAAATTGAACCCTAAAACCAGAAAACACACATAAATACTAGTAGATGGCTAGGAGAGGTGGGACCCCTTCCGATTTGGGAAGTAGCCCACTTTTCTAGGCTGACCAACCCTAATTTCCACCATAGCCGACTCCAACTGAACCAGTCTGGTCCAACTAGGAAAGCAACCAAGAAACCCCCATTTAGTTTTTTATATAAAAAAAGCTAAAGCTAATAGCATAGCCAAACGGTAAAAAAGTGCTTTTTAGTTTAAAAAAGCTCTTTTTAGTTTAAAAAAGCATAGAAAAAATATTTTATTGAAGCAGTAATGTCAACTTTAGCAACAACAACTTTAAAATAGTGTTTTTTACAAAGTTGTTTTTAAACAAACTTTTGTAAATGCATAAGCTTAACCAAACAAAGCGTTACTCCGTGCACTGATGGCCTTATAATGGTAATAGAAATTTTTGTATTGAATAATTTTAGTTAAAATAAAGGTCATCCAATGAAGCACGGGTATTATATAAAATCACACTCAATCTAACCACTAAAATAAATAAAAAACTATAAGTCTTCCAGGAAGACAACAATTAAATTGAACTTTAAAGGTTGCATATCTGCCTAAAGAAAAATATTGCAGACTAACCAAAAAGACAAATATGAACCAAATATTAGATAGGCAATATGTCTACTGACTAAAGAAAGAACAATCTAACTTAAGTTGTGGAATGAGTCATTTTAGTATTTGTAATGCTAAATCAAGTACATTAGAATGATCAAATACATAATGATGACAACTAAGTTTAAGAATGTAGATAAGAAATGTGGTTAACTAAGAGCCATTTTTTCCAAATGAGGATGATGTGATCATCAATTCTTCCATCTCCATTTAAGAAATTTAATAATTTAGAAGCCAACTGATGCATGTTCCATGTGTAACAATATCAAGAACTTCTACATCGCATAGTCATGTTCCAACTGAGAAGTCACAACTTTTTGTGAAGCTAAAAAAATCTTGAATAGTTGATCAGTGGATGATTCTCTAATTCCTAATGTACAAGCTTACGCACTAAAAATAGAATGTATATAATGCTAGTATTTTATCACTATCAACATTATCTGCTATTTTTCAGCATGTTCTGTTATAAAGTGTATGTTTCAGGCCATCATGAGGATATGAAGCTCTGTATTCAAAATTTTTCTAAAAAGCAAAAGTTTCAAGTTACATGTAGTGAGAAGAAGACAGGAAGATATGAAGGGATTCAATTGCTTATGCATTCAATCCTAATTTATAATAATATACTTTAATAAACATACAATCTTATTTGCCCGTATTAAAATGTTAACAAAATAAAGAAAAAAAAGATGATGAAAAGAGCGGATATTCATTTTAAAGCTCTAAAGCACAGTATTGTTCACATAAGAAACTACAAATTTTACCATCCTCCTCTACAACTACCACAACATGTTGTACCTCTCTATTTAATTTTGCTTTAATGGAATTTCATTCTCCTTTCTAAATATCAGGTCATACAATATCCCTAAATAAAAAAAGAAGATTTAAAAATTCAATTTCAATAGTTCTGTTCATTTCACGACTCCTATGTTCCATCTTGACAATTCAGCACAAGTATTTGTATTCCACAACACTCCACATTCAGAAGGAAAAATCAACTAATTGGTTTAGCATCATGATATAGGTTAAATAGAATGGTTTATAAGTCATTAATTGAAACAGCAAGGTAATCTAATAAAGATAATAAGTTCTATCTCTTGGACATAGATAAATTATAAACAGCCTCCAGAACAAGAGTTATGAAACAACACAGCATAAGCTTCAAGCATAAACAAATGGCACAGTGATGGAATACAAGATACAAACAATGCTATCAAACATCAGTTCAGATGATTTCACAGCCTAGTTTCGCTTTTAGGTTTCAACTTTCATTACCATTGGAAGTTCTTCATGCAAAGCAATCTCATGGTCCAAGAAAAAATTAGAACCGCAATGCTACCCGAATCCAGCATGCCAAATTCAGATCCAGAAAAATCCAAACTCAAATAAATCAAACTAGCCAACTTCCCGTCTTCCCACATACCTCAAGGCTCTGCATCGCCCCCAAGAGGCACCGAAAATATCTCCCGCACTGGCGAGAACTCCACTAACCCGATATCCATCGCGTATCCAGAGACCGGTAGCTTCAGATCCCTAAGTATGCAGAAAGCCTCTCCCATCCGGTTCCTCGGCACGTCAATTGCCACAGGACAGTGTGGCACCCACGAATCCGGCCGAAACTCCTCCGCCGCCTCTACCCCTTCCTTCCGCAGAATCTCACAAAGCTGCGTGTGGAGCCCGAGCAGAGCCGAGGTCGGCGTTGGCCCAAAAAAGAGAACCCCTCCACCGCTGCCGCCGCCGGGAAAGGAAGCGACGGAAGAGAGGGAGACAGGGAGTGGTTCGAGGCGGGCGGCGAGGGATCGAACGGCAGTGAGGAATCGAGCGGGGTCGATTGAGGGGGAGGAGAGGAGGGTGATGTGTGGGCGAGCGGCAATCTCAATGAGCTGAGTGCTGATCTGTCGTCGGGCTAGTACGTTCCAAGCCTTTAGGACTTGGTTCTCGAGGGCCGGATCGAAGTAGAGCTCGACAGCATAGCCCTGTCTCATCGGAGTTGCTGCTTCCGTCGCAAACATCTCCGGCGCCGCTGCCGCCGAAGACATCGCGATGGCTCTGTTGTTACGGCGTCCGCCGACTCGATTTTATGGTCCGGGAAAATTTAGACGGGAATACGGACGGCGAAAATAGAATGGTAAAGGGGAACGGAGATTTACTAGGTAATAGTAGATTCGTGGTAATTAATAAGATTAGAGTGCTTCAAAATTCGGGCGAGTGAGTTGAGTTCCATTAGATCTCAAGAAAACGATCTTCATTCGATCTCAATGTTATATGAGTTGAAAAATTTTATTCGAATCTGACTCGTCTTCAACTGTTCAACCCTAATTTGATTGAAAAATTTTCTATTCCGACTCCGGATGTAGCTCTATGTGCGGACTCTAATGATATGATGACATGTGTGCTACATCGCGAAGTTATTTAGAGGTTATTGAAGTGGAATCGCGGGGGTTATTTCAGGGTTATTAAATTTAAACACATATATTTCACTTCAATAACTCTGAAATAACCCAGAAATAATCATGAAATAACATCTGTTGTTCTACTTCAATAATCCCGAAATAACACCGCAGATGATATTTTAGGGTTATTTCGGAGTTATTGAAGTAAAATATATAAGTTTATATTCAATAACCCTGAAATAACTTATGTAGTGTTATCTTATTGAAGTGGAACCGCGCATGTTATTTCAGGGTTATTGCGTAGTCCGCTGTTCAACTTTAATATTTTTTTAGGTGGGCCCGATATAATACACATAGCGGTATATCACTGGGAGTCTGCACGTAGAGCTACGCCCGGAGTCTGGACAGAAAATTTTTCTACGGAGTTGGGAACATTTCACAAAAGGAGTCAAATGACGGCCTAACCTGCATATCCTTAAATTCTTAAATTCTATAAAAAAGATTTACATACATATCGCAATTCTCATGTTTTTACATATCTAATTCCTAAACTTCAATTTTTACATATATGACATCTTATCGAAAAATAAAAACACGCATTTCATTTTTTTAAAATTAAAATAGTTATATATTTTTATGTGATATGAAGAATTTGGATGGTACAAATTTAAAATGTTAAGGACATGTAAGTGCTGCAATAAGTTTTTAAATTTAAGAAAGTGATATTATCATCACCCTAAAATAAATTTATGACTTTAAAATCCTCTTAATTCTCTAATGCACCAATTATGAGACCCAATAAAAAATAATGCATCTTGTTTATGTAGCCTTGAATGTTTAGATTACAGGCAGAACTTTGGAATTTGACCTTAAGGTGCTAATAAGTGATGCCAGGATGAGCATCTTATGTGATAGGTCTGTCCTGCTGCTATTTTAAATGAAATGATCATAGAGAAAAAATTTGTGTAGTCTTCACTTACTATTGGTCTTCATTGCTTTATGTTATGAGTTTGGTGCATTATTTTAAGGGTAAAATGGCTATAGAGTGAGATGGATATTGTCCAAATTTTTGGTTTTAGTGGGTAACTTGGTATGTATCATCATTTGAGTTAAATTTGATGTCATTTTTTTGACATGTAATGCTTTTATAGATATGAGGCGAGTGTCATCAAGTCTTTAATTGTTAGTGGGAAATGTAATCATTGTTGTTGCATCGATTTTGGCATCGCTTTTGTAATTGAGAAGCCAATCATAAATAAGAGATAAACATCATATAATTTTCACATGCTAGCAAGCAATGTGATCATTGATATTAATAAAAATTTAGCTTCTCTATTATTGTGAGTAAGGTGATTATGCATAAGATATGGGGTCATATGATCTTCAAGTATTAACAACCAGTGCAACCATCATCATCATGTATAGAAGGCAAGTCTGACGTCACTATTGTTAAGGTGTGATAAGCATTATAAATGTTAAGTCTATGTCTATACTGTGGCTAGTGAGATGACGTCAACAATGAGTTCTATTTAAGTTGAATAATTTATTAGAGTTATTTCATCATCAAGAAAAGTTACAAATGAATAGAAAATGAATCGTATATACACAATTTATTTGAGGCATTGTAGTTTTAGATTTTAGTTTCATTATCAACAATTAACAATGGAGATCATATCATTCCACATTCAAGCTGTGATTATATGATTATATCCCCTGGTTGATCGAGTTGACATAACCAAACTTATAGACAACCACTTTGATAATATATTCAATCAATAATCTATATATTTTTATATCATGTGCTTCGATTTTATAATTGCATTAGTGTTGGCAAATTGAAGTGTTGATATTTAGGTCTAATTAAATATTTTTAAGAAGAGTTGTTGACTTATAAACAAAATTTTTATATATTGATAATAATATCCTACTATATTTACATTGATCTTCTTTTTTTATAGAGGGACATTATGATGTGAATAATTGCTAAAATAGTTAAGCAATAGAGATGCAATAACTTAAAAAATCTAGAATTTTTTAGAAAGAATTATATAATAATATGAGCAAAACAATGTGATAAGAGATTATCACCATATTTAACATATTGAGGCACAAGTAAAGTGGCTTTAGACAAACACTAACTTATAGAGGTGGTGATAGTATTATCATTATTACTTGAGCAACACAATGAAATCTTATAAATGTATTGATTGCATCAAAGTAATGCTAAAGTAGGTTAAGCATTCTTTCAAATCATTAGAAGTTGTGAATCTAATTTCCTTGTCATTTGTGTGGGCTTCAAAATCCACTACAAACAACACTAGGGTAAATTCAAGGTCTAGTGTAAATTCAAGGTCTAGTGTAAATTCAAGGTAGATAACATTTTTACCCAATTATGTCAAATCTAGTCAGCCTAAGCCAACATGAGCAATATTAGACTGGCTAATTCAACTAATATAGACTATGTATGACTTTATTTAACTACTCTAAGTGTTCATCAACTTGGTGTAATATGTAAAATATTTTTTTGTTGTAACAAGCTAGTTTGAGATTTTATGGTCTCCAAATTAAATTCTCCAAATGACATTTATCAAAGTTCATTTTCTTAGTTTCCTTAAGGTATATTATTTATATTATATTTGATACTTAATTTGATTATAAACTTTAATAATATACTAATTTCCATAATAATTTTGGTTGTATTAGCTTATAATTAAAAAAATATCTTTATAATATTTCCAAGATTTATAATTTATTTCAAAGTAAAGAATATTTCACAAATCAAATCAAAATTTCATTGATTATAAAGTACTTTGTGTATATCAATATTTTACTTAATCAATTGCTTTGAACTACTAAAGAGTGCAGTGATATGATTATCTTAATCTTTTAGAATTCGATAAAATATCATTTTTCTAAAATTGGTTTTGCTAGGTAATTTTTTTACCTAATTAAATAGATATCTCTTAATTTGTGTGGAATATTAGCCATGCTAAGTAATTCTTTGACAATACTCTTCTTATTTAACATTATTTTTTAAAATATTTAAGTTTTGGTCAGAAAAAAAATTTTGACTCCTTGGTTTGGAGTAGGCTATGTTAAAAAGATGAGGTAGATAATTATATTTTTTGGAGATTGGGAAAAGAGAATATGCCATTTTAATATGATAGTTGAGTTGAACATTTTAGGCTTGAAGAAGTGCATATGGTTTTTAACTCTAACCTTAAGCTATGCTATGTTGTTAAAAATGGTGTTTAGAATAGATCTTTGCTTGTAAACTATCTCCCAATTGAATTGGTTGATATTATCACTTACATATACCTTAAATATAAGTACGATGGCACTATCTTCTAGCTTGAGAAGATATTTCTCATTTAAAGACACTTAAAAAGTATTGAGAATTTTAATTATAATAGTGTTTTATTTTCCTTTTAGAATAAAACTATTTTCACATACCTTTCTATTTCATGTAGAGCATCATCATTGTAAGCTAAGTAAATCCAAATGGTTTATAAACACTCTTATTATACAAGAATTGAATAGATTCTTAAGTTTTGTTCTTTAATGATTTTTTTAAGAAAATTGGAATCGCTTGTTATTCTTTTTAGCATTAATCTAATCAATAATGTTCATATTTATTTATGGTGCCTTAAATGAGTTATATTCTCCAATAATTTCTTTAAGGGACCCATTCCTGTTTTTTTCTTTTGTTTTCTATTATTTTGTTTAGAAAATTAAAAATATGATGGAATATAATGATAGGATTGGAGAAGTAAATTTAATTTAATTTATAAGAGAAATTAGTATTTTAAAAATTTATTCGAAGCTAATTATCGCTATCAAGTTCAAAGAAACCAACAACTTTGCTAAGCATACTTGTTCACCTTTATAGAATAAAATGCAGTATAATGATATGTTTCAATTAGTATAATCTCTCAAGGGGGGAAATGTTTACGTACAGAGAACACACGCAGCTCTTTGTACTTAATCCCCTCCCAAGAACTTCTCAATAACCTCTGCGAATGTTAGGGGGGTTATTGCAAAGTTATTTCGGTGTTATTTGGAGTCAATACCTTAACACCAGAGAAAATGTAAAGTGTAACTGCATAATGTGTAAGTGTAACTGCGGAGGGTATTGACTCCAAATAACGCCAAAATCACTCCGCAATAACCCCCCAAAAACCTTCGCAAAGGTTATTGATTAGTTATTGTGAGGGGATTACGCATGGAGAGCTGCGTGCATTCTCTGTACGTAAATATTTCTCCTCAAAAGAACACTTTGAATTAAACACTGCTTTCAACCTTAATAAACACATGTGCGCTTGTAGGGATATCCTTAAAGGTTTCAAAAGAAATATAATCTTCTCTTTTTATAAATTTATCATTAATATTTCTTCCATTATGACAAAACTTTTGTAGGAGTGTGCATTAATTGGTTCAAATCGAAAAATTGAATATAACGAAGCATATGTTTTGGTTAGTTGATAAAATAATAGTTCAACTTTTTATTCTAACTTAAGGTTTATTTGAATTTCAGTTATTTATTTGCACTGAAAAAGTATTTAATTATCATGATTTAAAACTCATTGTTGATACCATACACCAACCCATTAGCACTCTAATACTAATTTATCACCCTATCGCATGAATTTTCCGGCACACATTTTTTGCACTCATTGTTGATAACATACTCCCAATTTCAGTTATTTATTTGCACTAAATATATCTTAAATAGTTGTCAATTATATAATGT